TTAGTGGAAACTTAACTTTGGAGATAATTTATCAATTTTGAGTAATTTTAGAATCTCAGCAGAGAGATATAAAATCATCTTTGTTGTCCAAGGGTGGGATTTACCATGAGTGCTGTTGGGGGGCAGAGAAGTCATGCTTCCCTTAGCCCTTTCATCACTTTGGGAAAGGACCTGATTTTGTCCTCATCTATGAAAACTTAGAGGACTGTGTGTTTGTAGTTGGTGCAAATCAGACCCCCTGCACCCAGAGTGACCAGAACTGAGAGGACCTCAGTCCTGAGTCTCTTTCCTTTGGAGTGTGTTCCGGTGTCTTTACTGCCTTTGCTCTGTTGAACTTTCCTCCTTCCAAGGCTTTTTACTTCGATTTCTGTCCCATCCCTTGCTTTTCCCTCCCATGGCCGCCTCAGAGCAAAGCCCGCATGGTCATTCTTCCTGCAATAATTCTCTGAGGGCCGAGAAGGAATCTCTCCAGGGAGACTGTCGTCATTCCCCTTGCCTGCTTGGGTCAGAGGTTGCCTTTTTCACTGTTGTAAACTGCTCTGAACTCTGAGCTGAAACAGTGTAGATCATTGAGTACTATAACCTTTCATTCTAGAAACTCTCCTTGGAACTTTACGCAAAGTGAAAAGCTTTGTGGGTGAGACAGTGATAGAGGGAGGGGTGTGTTGTTTGGTTTCTTCAAGATGGGTATGATGATAGTCAAAGTCGCTTGGTCGCGTCCGACTCTTTGTGACCCCATACATGTCATACAGTCCATGGCATTCTCCAAGCCAGAATATTGGAGTGGGCAGCCTTTCCCTTCTCCAGGGGATCTTCCCAACCCACGGATCGAACCCAGGTTTCCTGCATTGCAGGTGGATTCTTTACCAGCTGAGCCACAAGGGAAGCCTAAGCTGTAGAGTCAGTATCAATAATACAATGTTGTTTTGCTTAGGGGGGAGTGGGAAGGAGTTATCAGGAGCAAGCAGTGAGATCTTTTCATTTTCAGATAGAATTAGTTTAGGTTTCACCCCGTCACTGCCTCAGTCCCTGGATGAGCAACCTCTGAGCCACAAGCAGGTGCAAGCCCGGGTGCTCCTGCTGTGCCCCTGGACGTTTTCCCAGCGGGCTCGTCTTAACTAAATAATGGCTGGTATCATCAGGCGCTTGCTGTGTGCCAGGCGTTGTACTGTGCCCTCTGCGTGCCTTATCGCCTTTAGTCCTCTCAGTAGCCCTGTGGGTTGTAGAATCTCTTACCATCTCACTTCCCTGAGGTTTCGGGAGTTAAGTAGCTTTTCCAGGGCCACACTGGGAGTGGAATTTGGGTGTTGCTGACTTGCCTGAGGTCCATGTGAGCAGGAGGAGGACGGAAGGCAGAGGTTGGAGAGGAGTGCCTTTGGGGTGTTGCTCCTGTTTTTGCTTTTGGGTCAGGGCCGAGGAGCATTCCTAGCATGTCAGGGTGGGTGGGGTGACCAGTTGGCAGGGATCAGAGTCAGGTAGCTTACTTCAGCCCAGGAATGGAGCAGGGTGGGAGCAGGCAGACGGGAAGAGGCGGAACGCGTAGAGCGCAGCCTTGTTCCCCCGGCCCCCGGCCCCCGGCCTTCCTTCCTCAAGGGGAATCTTCTTACCTTTCCTTGACCTTCTCTTCTGCCGACTGACGGCTTCCCAGGTGGTTCAGACAGTAAAGAATCTGCCTGCAGTGGGGGAGACCTGGGTTCGATCCCTCGGTCAGGAGGATCCCCTGGAGAAGGGAATGGCAGCCCACTTCAGTATTCTTGCTTGGAGAATCCCATGACTCTCTCAGAGAAGTCTGGCGAGCTACAGTCCATGGGGTCGCAAAGAGCTGGGCTCAGACGCTAACACTTTCAGTTCACTTTCTTCTGACTGAAAAACCGGTCTTGCTACTTACTACCTAGGCTGTTGTCTCCTTCCTGGCTCAGGGGAAACTGCCCACAGGTTAAGTATGAATTGAGGAGTATAACAGGGAGCAAAAGGATGCGAAAGGCAGAAGAAGGAAAAACGAAGCATGGTTTCCATTTGCCAGGCATTTTCTCGTTTATCTGTTGATTTGATTAGCAACCAGTACCCAGTCAGGGGAGGCAAAGATGGTTATATCCTCATTTTACATGTGGAAAAATGCAGTCAGTGCATACTGAATGATTATCCAGGGCTCCTTGGTAGAAAAACCAGCCTGTGATTTGAACTCCACCTCCTAGAATTCTTTGCTCTGGACTCATCTGCACATGCGCACATGTACTTGTGTGTTTAACATACCCCAGGACACCTGGTGCCAAAATCGTATCCCCAAATGCTGACTCCAGTGAGTTACTTATATATGTTATGCTCATCATTTGGTGGGTACTTAATTGGTATAAATCTTGAGACATTTAACTCTGTACCTAACAGCTCCTACAGGCCCCTTTTCAGGTGCCCACTCTTGAGTGTCCTGGATACCCATTGTGGTTTTTTTTGGACAATGGATTCATGATTGAGAAAACCCCTGGGCCTCATCTTCTTCCTCCAGACTGTTTGATGACTCTTGCAGCTGGCCACTCTGACCTTATCTGACTTCTTGCTGGTAGAGGTTTATGGAGCTTTTGTTTTGTTTCTCTTGTGGCCAGCTTAGCAGCTTGGAATGATACTGGCTGAGTGACATGGGTCCAAAGTGGGCTGTTCTGTGTAACTTCTTGTTCTCTCAGTTGCCTGGGAGATCAGTGAGCCCAGCTATCAAGTGCTGCTGCTGTGTTCAGCCCTGTGGACGATTGAGGGTGGAGAAAAGTGATCAAAGTACCTAGCAAGGTGCACCGCATTCATTCATTCGGTAACTCGATATTGAACAACTCTTCTGTGCCAGGCTGTATCCCAAGTACTGGGGATGTAAAGGCAGACTCGATTCTGCCGTCATCTAGTGAAGGGCACTGTCAGTGCACTGGGCATTCAGTAAATAAAATATCGTCATTAAGGCTATTCCTGTAATAATCATAGTGATGTTATTAATAGAATAGTGCTTTACCATCTTGATGAGATTATGGGAAATGAAGACATCATATTATCACACCCAGTGGTCTGCATTCCTATAACTTTTTATCAAACCAGCAGACTCTTGAGAGTCAGGAATGTGTTTTTTTGTTTGTTTGTTTGCCTCCTGGCTGGAGAACGAGTTGTAAAGGTTCATCACTCCTTTAGCTGGAGTAGAACTCCTTTAGCTGGAGTGTTTGAATTAGGAGATTTGGCCCTGGGGATTTGTATGCTGAGAGTTATAGACCCTGAGCATCTTCCTGGAACTCCAGTCTGGGATCTATCTCACTGACACCAGCTCCCTTCCTTCCTGGCCTGACTTTTTTTTTTTTAATTTTGTTGCGGCACATAAGCTTTCTCTGTTTGTGGTGTGGGCTTCTCTTGTTGTGGAGCATGGGCTCTGGAGCTTGCAGGCTCAGTAGTTGCGGCACTTGGGCTCAGTTGCCCTGTGGCATGTGGGATCTTAGTTCCTTGTTTAGGAACCTGCATCACCTGCATTGGAAGGTGGATTCTTAACCACTGGACCACCAGGGAAGTCTCATGGCCTGACTTTTTATAAGGACTGCAGTGTTTTTAAACTGTAAACAGAGGAATTATGGATAGAAGGAGTTTGACTAGTAAGTTGTTCTTCTTTTTTTAAACAGTCTCACTTAGATGTAAGTGAAATACCATGTATTTATCATCCTTTTAAAATATACAATTCAGTGCTTTCAGTATATTTATAAAGTTGCACAGCACTCAGTACTGTCTAAGTCCTTAGCATTTTCATCAACTCAGATAGGAACCCTGTACCCACTAGCAGTCACTCCCTATTTCCTGCTTCCCTTCACCCCTGGCAGCCACTAATATATATTCTGTCTCTATGAGCTGACCTATTGTGGACATTTCATATAAAAGGAATTATATAATATGTAACATTTTGTGTCTGGCTTCTTTCACTTAATATAATGTTTTCAAGGTTAATCCATGTTGTAGCATACATCAGTACTTTTTATAGCTGAATAATATTCAGACATTATATGTTCATTCATCAGTTGATGGACATGTGGGTTGTTTCCATCTTTTGTTATTGTGAATAATGCTGCTGTGAACATTCAGGTTCAAGTTCTGTGTGGATGTATCTTTTTTTTTTGGATGTATCTTTTTAACTCTCTTGGTTGATACCTAGGAGTAGAGCTGCTGAGACATATGGTAACTCTGTGTTTCACTTTCTGAGAAACTGCCATGCTGTTTTCCAGGGTGGCTGTGCATTTTACATTCTCATCAGCAGTGTATGAGCATTGAAATTTCTCTGTATTCTCATCAAAACTTGCCATTATCTTTTTGATCATAGCCATCCTAGTGGGAGTGAAGGGTTATCTTGTTGTGGTTGGTTTGCATTTCCCTGATGGCTATGGTGTTGAGCATCTTTTCACGTGCTTATTGATAATTGTATGTCTTCTTTGGAGAAATATCTGTTCAGATTTTTTGCTTAATATTTAATTAGGCTATTTTATCTTCCTGAGTTGTAAGAATTATTTACATATTCTGGACCATTAGTCCCTTATCAGATATGTGGTTTGCAAATATTTATCCCCATTCTTTGGATTGTCTTTTCATCTAATGGTATCCTTTGCAGAATAAAAGTTTTTAATTTTGATGAAGTCCATTTTATCCATTTTTTCTTTTGTTGTATTGCTTTTAGTGTCATATCTAAAAAGACATTGCCTAATCCAAGGTTGCAAAATTTCCTCCTATGCCTTCTTTTAAGAGTTTATAGTTTTAACATTTTTATGACTGTTAAGTTCTTATATACTGACTGAGGCTTTCAAAGTTCCTGTTAGCTGTTTGCTAGGGGTAAGTATTGGGTGAGAGGCTATTATCCTGGGACTTCTTTTCCTTGCCACATTGATAAGTCAGTTGAGGAGCCCTGGCAAGCACTTAATTCTTGCAGGTGTTTCTAGCTATTTTGCGGTTTTCATATTTCATTGTCTTCCCCCTACCCTTTTTTTTTTTTTGGGAAGGTAACGAATGAAGAGGACTTCATTAGGAAATTGGACTGCAAACCTGATCAGCATCTGAAAGTGGTTTCCATTTTTGGAAATACTGGGGATGGGAAGTCTCATACCCTCAACCACACTTTCTTCTATGGCCGAGAAGTCTTCAAAACCTCCCCTGCCCAGGAGTCCTGCACTGTGGGAGTGTGGGCAGCATATGACCCAGTCCACAAAGTAGCCGTGATAGACACGGAAGGGCTCTTGGGGGCTACAGTGAATCTAAGTCAGAGAACACGGCTGCTGCTTAAGGTCCTGGCCATCTCGGACCTCGTCATCTATCGAACTCATGCAGACCGACTGCACAATGACCTCTTCAAGTTCCTTGGGGATGCCTCAGAAGCTTATTTGAAACATTTCACTAAGGAGCTCAAGGCTACCACTGCCCGCTGTGGCCTGGATGTCCCCTTGTCCACCCTGGGCCCTGCTGTTATCATTTTCCATGAGACGGTGCACACCCAGCTGCTGGGCTCTGGTAAGTAGATGGGGTTCAGTTGTCACACGTTGACCTTTCTGGGCTGCAGTAGCGACTTGGCGGTGGAAGATTGCCCAGAAAAATTTCTGCCTGGGCAAGACATAAGGAAGTGTTTCAAGAAGGATGGAGTGATCAACCATGTCAGAATCTGCTCGTGGGCAGGATGAGGATTGAGAATTGCTGATTGGCTTTGGTGATATAGAGGTCCTTGGTGATCTGGGTAAGACCGTTTCCCAGGGATGGTGGGCCTGAAAGCCTGATCAAAGTGGGATCAAAAAAAGAGAAGGAAAAATCTTAAGGTAGTATATTCATCTCTTTCATAGAGTTCTATAAAGGGTTCTAAAAGTGACAGCAGGAGGCTGATGTGGGGGGTTTCAGGGAATTTCCCCTTTTTTGAAATTTAAGATGTGAGGTATTGCAGATACTTGTGTATTGCTGGGAATGATGAAAGGAAGAGATGCAGATGTAAGAGAGAGAGCAGGAGTGATGCACAGGTGGAGGGCTGACCTTAGGAGTGTGGACGGTTCATCCGTAACAACAGGAGAGAAGGGAGATTATATGGACACGATTACTGGTAAGTAGGTAGACGTGGTGGAAGTTGTCTTATTGTTTCTGTTTTCTTAGAGAAATAGGAAGCAAGAGCATCTCCCGAGTGGGAGGATGAGGGAGCAGGTGCGACAGTGATTGGATGCAGGTGGGGATGATAGCATTGGCTCGGAAAACAGTTTCATTATTAATGTTCATTCAGTTAACAAAGTTTATTATGTGCACAAGGTCACATGCTGACTGCCAGGACCCCAAACTGAAAAAAAAAACAATTCCCACCCTCGAATAGCTGATAGTCTAGTTGGAGAGGCCACACGCACTCCGTTCTGTGCTGGGTGTCGCTCCTGGAGCTGTGAGTGTGCAGAAGAGGGACACTGTACACCTCTTTGTGGGATCTAGGAAAGAGGAGGTGACATTTGAACTCTAGAGACTGATTAGATAGAGGAGGGGAGGAAGGATGCTCTAGGAAGATGAACCTGTAGTGGTTTGAAGGAACTTGTTGTGTCCAGGGAACTGTAGGTATTTGTACACTTGAGTTCCTGGATTCCGTTCCTGCCCCCTTCAATGCATCTTCCTTGAAGGATGGGGAGTGATGTTTTTTAAAAGCTTAATTTATACTTTAGGTCATGTCATACTCCTGCTTCCAGCCTGTCAGTGGCTTTCCATTATGTCAGGATAAAATCTAAACTCCTAATTACAGTGTCTTCACTCCTGCCTCTGTCTCTGAACACTCTCTGCTTTAACCCCTTTCACTCCCTCCACTAGCTATACCAGACTTTTCTCTGTTCCCATCTTTGCACAAGCTACTCTGTCTACCTGGAACACACGTTCCCCCAGCCAGCCATCCTCTTTCAGATTCAGCTTAACTCTTAGCCCCTTGGAGCCTTTGCCAAATGTCTCCTTTAAAATGGTCCTTCCTACACCCTGGTGGTCCCGTCTTGTTATATCACCCTGTTCGTGTTCATCAGGACACCTGTCGCTCTCTGAAATCATCCTGTTTGTTTGCTTATTGGTTTTTGATCTTTTCCCCTTGGAATGGAAACTCTAGGAAGGCAGGCACCTTGCCTGTCTTATTCACTGCTGCCTTTGAAGAGCCTGGGTGGGTGCTTGGCGCACAGTAGGCTGTCATCAGACACTTGCTGAATGAAGAGGCTCAGTGTGTCTGAGGCTTAGATTGTGTGGGAGGGAATAGTGGACACACTCAGGGATCAGATCATGCATGGATGGCCTTGATTTAGGTCTCAAGTATGACAGGATCCCTTGAAGGATTTTAAGTAGGGAGTTTATGTGATCAGATCTGTATTTTCAAAAAGATCTCCCACGGCCTGTTGCAGGATGAACTAGAGAGGCATGTGTAGAGGCAGGGAGGTGGCCAGGAGCTTATCACAGTACTAGGTGAGGAGTGATGGGGCCTGAGCAAGGGCAGGGCAGTAGGTGGGGAGTGGACAGACTAGGACCATATTAAGGAGTTAGAATCCGAAGGATCTGGGTCTAGGATACCTCCCGTGATTAACAGTTTTATGCCACTCTGGATCTTCACAGCTTTGGTGAGGGGAGGGTCTAATTTCCTATTCAGGATTTTGAAACAACCAGCCTTTCAAAGTAACTTTTTTTTCCCCATAGGCTTTATTTATTTATTTATTTTTTAAAAATCTTATTTGTTTTTGGCTGTGCTGCGTCTTTGTTGCTTTTCCCTAGTTGCAGCTAGCGGGGGTTACTCTCTAGTTGCAGTGCGCAGGCTTCTCATTGCCGTGGCTTCTCTTCTTTTGGAGCACAGGCTCTAGGGCCCGAGGGCCTCAGTAGTTGCGGCTTGCAGGCTCCAGAGAACAGGCTCAGTAGTTGTGGCATACAGGCTCAGGCACTCTGCAAGCATGTGGGATCTTCCCGGAACAGGAATCATACCTGCATCTCCTGTGTTGGCAGACGAATTATTCACTGCTGAGCCACCAGCGAAACGACCCCCCGCTCTTTTTTTCCTTTTGCTTTATGCCTTGCACTGTGCTTGGTGTTTGTTAATTTGTTTTTTAAAATATAAGCTGACTAATAAAGATAACATTTTTTTTCTTAAATTTTTAAAAATTTTTACTTTTTCCCTGTGTCATGCGGCATTTGGAATCTTAGTTCCCTGACCAGGAATCAAACCTGTTACCGTCTCCAGTGAAAAAGTGCAGAGTCTTAACCACTGGCCCGCCAGGAAAGCCTCAACATTTTCTTAAAATAAATGCAGACTTAATGTATCTTTGTTATTCAGCTCAGTCAAAAGCAGCTATATTTTACAAATGAAGAAACTGAACTCAGAGAGCTTAGGTTATGTGACCAAGGAGGTTCTAGCTAGCAGGCTTCAACATTGGGATTCTGAATCCAGAGTTGTTTCTGGATCCAGAACTTGGGCTACTTCTCTTTGATGACTGTACCTTTAAATTTGAGCGAAAGCTATATTTCCAGTGTTAATTCGAGTGATTTTGTTGTTAAAATATTAAAGAAAATTATGCTGTATGACTCAGGAAACTCAAACTGCGGCTTGGTAACAACCTAGAGGGGTGGGATGGGGAGGGAGGTGGGAGGGATGTTTAAGTGGGAGGGGACATGGGTAAACCTATGACTGATTCATGTTGATGTTTGGTAGAAACCAACACAATACTGTAAAGCAAGTATCCTTCAATTAAAAATAAATAAATTAAAAAAAAAGCAACATAATCCTGTTAGCCCAGAATCTAGCTTCTAAAGAATAAAATAATTTAGTTTAAAAAAAAAAAAATTAAAGGAAGTTAAAACCAAAAGTCCTTCCAAGTTTTATCTCCAAAATGATTATTGAATCTGTTTATACTGCTGCTCCCTAAATTTCTGGATAAATGTTGGTGAAACTATGGGAGGGCTGATACCCTCACATGTTGGCAGTTGTCTGCAACTTCACCAGCATAAGACCAGTGCTTCCAGAGCAGCTATTTATTTTAAATGCTTATTAGAAGGTGACTGGTGAAATCCATCCATAGGATGGAAGACTATGTAGCTGTTAAAAAGAAGAAGGAGATGTCGTCTCACAGTGTATCAAGTGTACAAGGACACATGCTTACGGTATGTTATTAAGTGATGAAAGAAGTTGCATATATGTGTTGGGAATTATGTAGGAAAAGAAAAAGTCTGAAAGGGTAAACACTGGACTGTAGTTCCCTTTAAAGAGTAGGAGGGAGCAGAGGACCTACATTTCTTTCCTTTTATGCTTTGACATGTTTGGATATTTTACTATGAGCACATTAAAAAAAATACACTTCTAGTGAAGAATCCATCTTGTAATGCAGGGGACTCCGGTTTGATCTCTGGTTGGGGAACTGAAACCCCCACATGCTGTGGAGCAACTAAGCCCTCGCGCTGCAACTAGAGAGCCCGTGAGCCACAATGGAGATCCCTCATGATGCAGCTTAGAGCTGCTGCAGCCATTAAATAAATAAATATTAGAAGTTAAATAAATGACTGATTCTCTCTCTCTCTTTTTTTTAAAGGTACTTCCTTGAAGTGTAACACACATACCAAAAAGTGCACGTTATATCAGAAGTGTATACCTGAAGCCCTTTCGCAAGCTGAGGGTGTGTGTGAATTCAGTCCCAGGTCATGACACACCGGCCCCTACCTCACAGAAAGCCCTGATTGTGCTTTCTTCTAGGCGCTTCCTTCCTTCCTGACTGCCAGCAGCCTGTTTATATTTACAGAGTCACACCATGGATTCCTTTTATAATGAAAGACAGGAGACTTTTTTTTTTTTTAAAGAAAGGCCCCTGTTCACACACCTGTTTCCGCTTGTCCAGATCACCCCTCTGAGGTGCCGGAGAAGCTCATCCAGGACCGGTTCCGGAAGCTGGGCCGCTTCCCGGAAGCCTTCAGTTCCATTCACTACAAGGGGACGAGGACCTACAACCCTCCCACTGACTTTTCTGGGCTTCGGCGTGCTCTGGAGCAGCAACTGGAGAACAATACCACCCGTTCTCCCCGGCACCCGGGCGTCATCTTCAAAGCCCTGAAGGTCAGTTGCTTTCTGGCCGGAGTGCTTCTCCCTGGGGCACCAGTGGGTGGTGACACTCGGTTCTCCAACTTCTGTCAGTGCTGGTGATGAGGAACCTGGGCCGAAAAGAGAGGGTCTGTGAAAGGAAGGGCATGAGTGGAGTGTGTTACCTGTTGAATGGCATCATCTTGCCAGGAACGTGGATCTCGGATGTTAGTTAAAAGGTCCTCCTCTTGGAGAAAAACCTGATTTTACCATTCTTTATAATGAAGACATCAACTCAGTTTGTGCCAAAATTGCTTCCGTTTTACGGTTTGTGTACACCTCTGTGTTACCATGGCTGCAGGCGGAGGACAGAGGAGCAGGAAGGGGCCAGGGTCTTTGGAGCAGTGCTGAGAGTGTGGCGTCTGGAGAAAGGACAGTGTTGACATGAAGACTTGAGCTAGGGATTTGAGGGTGTCCTGAGGGTTAGGGCATAGAGCCTGAGACCAGAAGAGATAGGAGAAGTGGTTTACATAAAGCTAGGCCGGCCCTGATTTACCCAGGAACAGACTTTGGGCATATGTTGATTTGCTTCATCCATGGAGTCTAAAAGGTTTGCAGTGGGACACAACGTAAGCAGTTTCTGCATCTGGATAAACTGTATACGGAAGTTTGTTATACTGTTCTTGCAACTTTTCTACAGGTTTGAAATTACATCAAAATGAAAAGTTAAAAAAACAACAGGAGGAGGGAATGAAGTTACTCCTCAGAAAAGGTTTATGGTTTTTGCATTGTGGTTACTAAAGGCTACATGTTTGTATCCTCACAAAATTCATATCTTGAAATACATTAATGCCCAATTAGTATACCCAGGGGTTTGGGGTAGGTGATTGGGTCATCAGAATGGAACCCTCTTGAGTGACTTTAGCACCCTTACAAATGAAGCCCCAGAAAGCTCCCTAGCCCCTTCCACCAAGTGAGGACACTGTGAGAAGGCACACCATCTGTGAACCAGAAGGCAGAGCCTCACTGGGAGGCTGCCATGCTGCACCCTCATCTTGGATTTCCAGCCTATAGGACTGTGGGGAATAAATTTGTCATTTATAAGCTTCCCAGTCTGTGGCATCTCATTATAGTATCCTGATTGGACTAGAAAAACTTGGAACTCCGGAGTCAGACAGACTTGTGTTGGGATCCCAGTTCTGCCATTTACCTGTTGCTTGGTCTTAGGAAATTAGTTACTTCATTCATCCATTCAACAAATAAATGAGTGAATCTCTGTCAGAGTTTGAGGTGCTGTAAATAACTGTGGAGAATAAAGACAACAATCTTTGCCCTTATGGAATACTTCTTCAAGGGCTTCCCAGGTGACTCCATGGTAAAAAATCTACCTGCCAGTGCAGAAGATAACGAGTTCGATCCCTGGGTGGGGAAGATCCCCTGGAGGAGGAAACGACAACCCATTCTGGTATTCTTGCCTGGAAAATCCCACAGAGAGAGGAGCCTCGTAGGCTAGAGTCCATGGGGTCACAAAGAGTCGGACACGACTGACCACACGTGACCTTGTAATGGCATAGGTAGTCAGGTGGAAGATTACACCCAAGTATTGTGAGCATTCTTAAATGGAGGCTAAATCCGTACTGTGTTATACAAAGGGCTGTAAAATCTGATCCTTAAGAATATTGACAACTAGGCCAATGGCTGCATTATAGATTTCTTACGTTTTCTCAAAGTTAACCTAGCTTACTGTTTACATAAAACCTTCAGGGACTCCAGGTGCCATAAGCAGTAATTAGCGCTCAGAGATTTTACCTCACGCATCTTGGATGTTCTCCTCCAGGCCAGTTTGTCAGGTACTTTTCTGTTGTTGTTATTGTTGTTAGTTACTTTTGAGAAAAAGAGTTAGACTGTGTTTTTATGAGGGGATATGATTCATGAAGCTTTCTGTGATTAAAATGAGCCTGGTCGGCTGGAATTCTGAGGAGACTCTTGGTAACTGTTGGCCTCGAGTTTACCTGGATCTTGTATTTCCTGTTCTCTGAGGCAGGGTCTGTGCATGGGATGGAGTTACCTGTTTAAGCTCGTGTTTCCGGCTCTCCTCAGGGAACTCTGGGGTCTTGCAACTTAGTCAGATCCTTGAAAAAATTCTTTTGTCTTCTTCTGGTTGTTTTTAATCTGCTTTATATTAGAAATTGTTCATTCTCTGATGATCGTGCTTATAGAAAGCTACCTTTAAAGTCTGCATTAGGCAGATTGACCTAGGAGAGGTTTATTGTTGTTAAAATACTCTTAACAGAAGTCTTCATAGTTCATAGCAGTGTATAATATGATGGCCATTTATTTTTGTCTACTTATTTTTTGTTTTATGTTGTTGTATTTTTTTTTTTAAAGTGGCCTTGCATTCTTTTTGGAACAAAAGATTGGGGATGGTCATAAACAGATAAATTATCAGTGCCAAAATAGCTTGTTTGACTTTCTGTTTCTCCCATTTTTTTTCTTCCTCTACTGGTATTTATTCGCCACCTTGTCCATTTCCTCACTGACTCCCTGAGGAAGCACTTCAAGAAGACTTGGGATATATTCTAGTATGATTTATATGATTTTGTTTCCTCTGTGATTTTCTCTTTATTTTACATAAAATGGGAATATTGTTAGAAAAAAATGTATAAACCTTTTGGGAAAATGGAGAGACAAATGTGTAAACCTTTTGGGAAAATGGAGAGGCACTATGAGGCAAGACTGTGATGCCCAAATAAAGAAGTCTCAACTCTCTAGTAAGACCACTACCATGCAAGGGTAAACACTGACAGGTTTGGCAATAAAATTGTCAAAAAGGATATGAAGCACTGTAAACTCTTACAAACTTCTGGTTGAGGTAAAATTAGTACAGCCACTTTGAAATGCAGTAGTATAAAGAAATGCATAATATATATTCCAACCATGTCATTTCTAGAAATTGGCCTTAAAGCAACTCTTCCACAGGAACACAGAGACCTATATGAGGAAGTTAATGGCAACATCCTTGTAATAGAAAAGAAAAAAGCAAACTAAGTGTGCAAAAAATAGATACATGGGGCATTATATATGATTCTTTGCTACTTATTTTGAAAAGAGAATTGGGGTTGTGATGTATCTATGTGCACTTATATACTTTGCTTTTTTTAAATGGAGTGTTGAAGCCTAGCATTTTTTCCATGCTATTAAATATCCTATAAAACCATGTTTTTTAAAAATAGCTGTATGCACTGTTTATAATAGCCAGGACATGGAAGCAGCCTAGATGCCCATCAGCAGACGAATGGATGAGGAAGCTGTGGTACATATACACCATGGAATATTACTCAGCCATTAAAAAGAATTCATTTGAATCAGTTCTAATGAGATGGATGAAACTGGAGCCCATTATACAGAGCGAAGTAAGCCAGAAAGATAAAGACCATTACAGTATACTAACACATATATATGGAATTTAGAAAGATGGTAATGATAACCCTATATGCAAAACAGAAAAAGAGACTCCGATGTATAGAACAGACTTGTGGACTCTGGGAGAAGGCGAGGGTGGGATGTTTCAAGAGAACAGCATCGAAACACATATATTATCTAGGGTGAAACAGATCACCAGCCCAGGTTGGGTGCATGAGACAAGTGCTCGGGCCTGGTGCACTGGGAAGACCCAGAGGGATCGGGTGGAGAGGGAGGTGGGAGGGGGGACCGGGATGGGGAATACATGTAAATCCATGGCTAATTCATTTCAATGTATGACAAAAACCACTGCAATGATGTAAAGTAATTAGCCTCCAACTAATAAAAATAAATGAAAAAAATAAATAAATAAAAATAGCTGTATGCTTTTTCATTTATATGGGTGGATCATTTTTTATATGTAGTAGTTCTGCCCATACTTTAATAGTAACTTTCCATTTTTCCTTATATTTTCTGAGTACCTAAAGGTATTGCCCACATTCTGCCTACCTCCTTGGGGTAAATTACAGCTCCCAGTACTGCTGGCCAACCTTTCTGTGGAGTGTTTACTAATGTCATGTTCTGTGCTCTGTAATGACATGTATTCATTCATTTTATCCTCATTTCAACTCTGAGGTTGAGAAACAGAGGCAGAGAGAGGTACGTTAATTTGCCTGAGATGACTTGTCTAGTGAGTGGTGGAGAATTTGTTTTTTTAATATTCATTTATTTATTTGGCTGTGCCAGGCCTTAGTTTGCAGCACAGCACTCGGGATCTTCAGTCTTTGTTGTGCCACGTAGGATCTTTTTTAGTTGGGATCTGGTTCCCGACGAGGGATCGAACCCAGGCCCCCTGCATGGGGAGTGCATAGTCTCAGCCACTGGACCACCAGGGAAGTTCCAGTGGTGGGCAATTTGAACCAGGTAGTCTGGCTTCCAAGTCTGTGCTTTTAAACCCTGGGCTGTATTCCTTCTCAATAGTTACTCCACTTTTAAGAAGGTCAGAAGATGGGTCATCTTTAAAGGTTCCTGATACATATTACCAGTTGCCTTTAGAAAGGACATTCTTAGAAGTTGTATTTGAGTGTTTGGTTACTTTAAAAAGTTATTAAAAATAAAAAAAATTAAAAGTTATTTTTTAAATTGTAAAAACAATGTGTGTTTGTAATAAACAATTGAAATAGTACAGATTCAAATAGTACAATTCCGGTAGCAAGGTATGACTTAAGTCCCTTTCACTCCTGTCCCCCTCACTGTATGATAACTGTTATAAAACTTTCTGACATACGCTTCCCGAAATGTTTGGTGATGCTTCAGTGCATACAGAAATATATGTATATAATGTATGTATACATTTTCTTCCTAAATACGTCAGATCATAGAGAAGTTAAATCTTTTTTTCCTTCCACATATTCTTTTCATGTTCATTATTGAACAGGAAATGTGATTAATGAGCAAGATTGAGGAGTTGTAGAATGTGTGTGTATGAGACCTTCAGTCACTTTCTGCTCTTGTGAGTTGCCCGTATGTTTCCCATTCATTCTGCTGATCTGGTTGCTCTTCCTTCCATTTGGCCTTGTTGTGGTCCAAGCCCCAGTTCCTTTTCTCCAGCTGAATTTTTCTCACTTCTTAACCTGTCACTCGTTTGCTCAGTTTCCACAGTAGCAATAGCTCAGATACCTACCAGCAGAGCATATTCTCACTGATGAAGTAAGTCTGTTTAAAGAAAAGAGATGTTCAGTTCCCTATTGACTAAGGAAATTGAATATTGAATTAACTGTTGTTGCCTATATTTACAGTTAAGAGTAATGGAGAGTCCCATTTTAAGGTTGGATTCTGACAGGTTTTCTGTATTACCTCCTTTAGTCTCTGATCTCTAAATGTAGGAACTCTGACTCTCTAATTCTGTCACATCAGGAAGCACCTATTAAGTATTTACAAAGTTATTATATATTTTGGGGGGAGGTGGCATCGTGGATTACATGAGAGTCTCCATTTTTAATCAGAAAATTCACTGCTAGCCTTTGATGACTGGAGTGAAACTTACAGGTTAGATAGTAAGAGCTGTACTGTTGTCAAGGCAACTAAAGTTCAAGATCATCTAGTCTCTAGGCAACCTTTTCCAGACTGACCTCAAATGCTTTCCCAAGCTTTCTCAGGAAAGGTCCTTTCCTGCCTCTTATGGCTTTGGGGCCTCAAGAGGGAGAGAGCCCCGGAAACCCTGGAATGATTTGAGGCTTAGAATTCTTGAAAGAGATGAAATATATGGATTAGGTGGTAATGTCCACACTGGAAAGAAGCAGTCAGGTTATAGAGGAAGGAAGACAGTGTCTCCTTACCCTTGTATCTAAAACACATGAGCATCAAGTTTTTTTTAACAGTTACTGTTATGTTTCCATGCTTTTTTTTTGGCTGCATCATCCGGCATGTGGAATCTTCGTTCCCTGACTAGGGATCAGACCTGTGGCCCCTGTAAAGGATGAGTCTTAACCATTGGACTGCCAGGGAAGTCCTATTCCCATACTCTTGATTCATGTAAGTCCTCCTGATGCTTGTCAAGGTCTGATTCATTACTGACTGCCGGCTCTTCAGTGAGTTGTGAGAGAAATAAGATGCTTGTGTTACCAGCATTTGAGAGGATGGGTGGCCAGCATCTGAAAAGGTGAGGCTGGTTGGTCTTGGAGTTCTCTTTCTGATGTCATAAGAAGTTACTGTTGCCATGGCAAACATAAGCTGACAGTTGTCTAGTGCTGGTGGCAATGGAGGTTCTATGGGGATTTGTCGCATGGCGATCGGGCTGCAGATTGTTTCATGCTAAGCCTTGAGATACTTAGAAATGTCCTCATTTTTCTGAAGATCTTCCAGAGAAGTGAATCAGGCCACTTGAGTTTGGAACAGAAAAAACCTTATGCTGTCACTATTATTGGGCTGCAATTTTACATTTACTGGGGAGTGGCATGCCTTCTGAATTCAACCCAGCTGTTGGATTCATGCTAAATTTGATATTTTTCCTAAGGAAAAGTATTACTTAGGTTATCCTTTCAGTTACCTATTTAAAAGAGAAACCAAGGGCTAAAAATGCGCTTCTTTGGGTTTTATTATACATCTTTAGTAGCTTCTGCATTCCTTATTTAGCTCTCTTTTTTGGTTTCTTATTTTAACACTGCATTTGGTACTTAAGCATCTTTTTGTAGCTAAATATTCACCCACAAATGCAACCAGCCATGAAGACCATGGAGCTGTCGTGGAAAGGAGAGAAGCTCTTATATCCCTTCTGTTAGCTGGATTGGTTGGTGAGGGTATCTGAGGGAGAAAATTAGAGAATTCTCAGCATAAAAATAAAAATATTAATCGTGGCAGCTCACATTTTCTGAGCTCTCAGCTTATGCCAAGTGCTCTATGGATTAACTTCATTTGATCTTCACAGTGTAATCCATGGAGACCCCTGCTGCGGAGAGTACTCCTAGCCACCCCCGTTTTACAGATAAGGAAATTGAGGCACTTGAAGAGCTACCAGCTACAGGCGGAAATAATTTTTTTGTGGGGGGGGGTCCTCACATTTATGCAAATTTTCCATTTGAGTTCATGCTATACCCAAGTTAATTTTTTATGTAAAAATAACTTCCTGGGACTTCCCTGGTAGTCCATTGGTTAAGATTCTGTGTTTGCACTGCAAGGGGTGTGGGTTCAATTCCTGGTCAGGGAACTAAGATCCCGTTGACCACATGGTGTGGCCAAAAAATAAAGCAAAAACTTCCTCCCCAAATCTTTCAGTAAATTGACGCATTAGGAAGGTGATGCTCTACTTGCCCACCAGCTAGCCCCAGTTAGGCACACAGCTGTTTGAGAAACACAGCTGTTTGAGAAATACAGAAAGAGTTATCAGTGATTTGGCCAATCAGTGAGTAGTTAGCCATAAATGAGAGAGGCCCGTGGGCGTGGGTTAAGGCCTGGTGCAGAGGCAGGGCCAGGGTGAGGAGGAGAGGATGGGTTGGTGTGTGCATGGGGCTCGGTGCTGGGGCACTTCATTGCAGAGGTCCTAGTTGAGTAGTTAAGACATGTGCTGGACTGAGAGGAGGATACAGAGGTAGTACGTGCCTTTCACGGTGTTTGTGATCTAGTCTGGGAGATCAGATACTTATATCAGGCTTATAGCTTTGCCTCATCACTTAGTACCTGGTTCAGATGTTGAGGACAGCAGGTGCTCAGAGAAGGCAGAGTGGTTGGGAAGGCTTCATGGAAAAGGGGAGACCAAAAATTCCCCGAAGGATGGGTCCTACTCAGAAGTAGGAGAGAGAATGATGGCGTAGGCTAGTGAGTGATTCTGCTGGGTTTGCGTCTTGTTTGTTCTCTTTAATATTCACGTGTATATTCCTTTATAGTCTGTCTCCAAATCTTACTTGTTTTCCCTTAGTTACTTTTTACAAAATTACTACCAAGAGAACAGGACCTTATGTGTTACTCTTAGATTGTTTTTTTCTTTTTTTTTTGGTCCAACTCAGGGATTGCCACTTGGTCAGCCGTCACTGGCAGGTGGTATTTTATGGGCATGTTCTTTATCTTTGCAGGAGCTGAATTTGAATGCACATGGGTGAGCCCCACACCCTTAGTCTGACACATTCTTTGCCACTACTCTTGTCTTAAACACCTGACCTGACTCCACATTGAGAGCTTGTGCTTTTGAAAACACTTGGTTTACAACTCAGGGTTTTAGGCTTCAAACCCTTGGGAAAAAGGAAAAGGAGTTTTGATAAATAAGTGTCCTTAAGCGAAATTCCGTTTAGAACTTGAAAATCTTAGTTTAGAACCTGACCTACCCCTTTTCCGAATCCCATCTTAAAATTTCTTTCACCTTTTTGCTAAAGAAAATAGCATCTTGTCCTTCTGTTTTAAAGCCACTTTTACTTCTCTTCCCCTGAGTAGTGCCTGGCTGCCACAGAAAGAGTCGAGACTTAGGAACTGTGAATATTTAATAATTTTTAAAACCTAGAAAGCCCATTTATATTTAATTCATATGACTTTTCCCACTGCATATGACTAAAGGCTTGGAGGAAAAAAAAATCAGCCTGAAGAATACTTCCAATATAAAGTAGTGAACAAAAATAGGATTAAAAATGGAAGCTTCCTTTAAACATAAAAATTTCAGTCTGTTACTTCACATACCTTTATCTTTCTTCTTGGTATTTATTTTGGCCGTTTGCTATCTTTTAGGTTAGTTACTGTAGTTGATAAAAGGCTGCCAATACCTAGAATAATTCCTCCTTGCTTTTTGGCTGATAACCCTTTTTTCTACATAGAGATGGTTCTGTGGCCAGTAAACTCCAGTGAATACCTGTGGTTAGAACTGGTGGACACGCCCAGAAAACTCCCAGCACACTTCTGAGCTCTGTCTCCCTCTGACTTCAAGACAGGCCACCTTCTTGAGTTGCTTTCTTTCCCAGCTTCGCAAAGATGAAATGGGCATTCGTCAGGATCTGGTGGTTTTGAATGAATGGTGGAGTGTGTGACGTGTTTATGACTTCCAAGGTCATTAGGAGAGACCAGTAACTTTGCTTCCTTCTGAGCTCTTGGGAAATGGGCTGGTTCTTTCTGAGGTTTCCTGTGGTGAGGATTGGTGTAAGTCAGGCCAAGAAGGTGGAGGGTAAGGAGCAGAAGTCGCTGGCTTCCCGCTTCTAGCCACAGAACTGGTAAGAAGTAAGCCAGCAGTGAGGGTGTGTTAGAAGGGCAGGCAGTGGAAGGCCTAGAGCTCCGAGCTCTCCGCTGAGGCCCTTCACATGTCACCTTCCCTCTGCGCAGGCTCTGAGTGACCGCTTCAGTGGTGAGATCCCCGATGATCAGATGGCGCACAGCTCCTTTTTTCCAGACGAGTACTTCACCTGCTCCTCCCTGTGTCTCAGCTGCGGGTAAGTCCCCACCGTGGGAAAAGAGCCTCAGAATGGTGCTTCGCAGACTTGCCTGTGCCTGCAGATCATGTGAGGTCTGCTTAAGTTAGGCTGTGACTAAAGGATGGAGTGGGGCCTGAGATAGGGTATTCCAACAAGTTCCCCGGTGAGCCTGATGGTCCGGGGATCACACTTTGAGATTGCGGGGGATTCCAGGACATATGGTTATGAAGAATCCCCTGAAGATTCCAACCCGGTTTAGATGTGAAATTAACTTGTTTGGGTAACTTTCACTGCAGAAAGCTTTCAGTTCAGTTCAGTCGCTCAGTCATGTGTGACTCTTTGCGACCCCATGGACTGCAGCTCGCCAGGCTTCCCTGTCCATCACCAACTCCCAGAGCTTGATGAAACTCATGTGCCTTGAGTCGGTGATGCCATCCAACCATCTGTCATCCCATTCTCCTCCTGCCTTCAGTCTTTCCCAGCATCAGGGTCTTTTTCAATGAGTCAGTTCTTCACATCAGGGAGCCAAAGTATTGGAGCTTAGCATCAGTCCTTCCAATGAATATTCAGGACTGATCTCCTTTAGGATTGACTGGTTTGATCTCCTTGCTGTCCAGGGGACTCTCAAGAGTCTTCTCCAACACCACGGTTCAAAAGCTAGCACAGAAAAGCAGAAGCAGGGAAGGCTTTGGGTTGCCTGTTTTCTGTGTTCCTCTTACCAGAGCTTTCAACTCGAGTCATTCCATCTCTTCGCCGTGTGCATAGCACTACAGTGGGTATCAGTCCTAGTGGATTCCTTTCATGATGAGGGCAGATGCCTAGAGCACATCAGCATTATCCAGGGAGTTTTCCAAATGACTGAGGCCTGGGCCTTGCCTCCAGGGTTTCTCACTTACCAGATCTGGGGTGGCGCCCTCAGCATTGGTGTATTTAAAACGCTTCTCAGGTGATTCTGATGTGTAGCTGAATTGAGAACATTGAGTTAGCGCAGTATTCTCAAACTTTATGTATGCATCACCTTGGGATTTTCTTAAATGCAGATTCAGAATCAGCAGGTCTCTGTGAGATTTTGTGTTTCCAGCTGGCTCCTGGGTGATGCTACTGGTCCTTTGTTACAGGGGAAACAGCAATGATTCTCGATGTTAGCATGCCTCAGGAAAACCTGAAGGACACATTACAACAGGTGGTTGGGCCTTGCTCCCAGTTTCTGATTCAGTAGGCCTGACGTAGGGCCTGAGAATTTGCCCTTCTGCTAAGTTCCCGGGTGAGACTGATGTTGCTGAATGGGGACCACACGTTGAGGCTCACTGGATTAATTTGAACTGTTGATAGCTACTCAGTCACAGGCCAGTGACTTGTTGGATGGAACTTGGGGGTTTAAATGCAGTGTGTCAGGGTCAGATTGTAGATTCTGTCTTGTAGACACTCGCCCACCTCTCCGCTGCTTTCAGCACTTAATCATCTGATCCTGTCCTCCACATTTGCCCATACGGGGGAGACCTGAGCCTTTTCTGTTATGAATCGCCTTTTTGCATTGATCCCTATAGGCCACCTCCTGGGCCACCATGTTTGCTCTGCGTTTGTAGCAAGGACTTGGTTCTTGGATTATACAGTCCGTGCCTAGGGAGGACTGAGGCTTGTCTTAGAGAGGAAAGAGGGATGTTAGTTGCCAGTGTGACTTCCTTTAGCGGGCCCCAGCAAGAGAGGCTTAGGTTCTGTTGGATCATCACTTTTCCATTCTAACTGTGCCTCACCAGGGTTTCCAGAGCTTTCCCTTCTGTCACAATGAAATTCTAAAGTCCTGGTCCCTGGTTTTGCATTGTCAGGATAGCAGAACTCACTGTTCATTTGGAAGGTTTTCTTGTTCAGCTTAAGCCTCCTCTTAATGCGTTGTCAGAATTTGAGGGTCAATTTTTGTTTTGCATCTTGGCAGCCTGTTCTGATTAAACTTATTTCATGCTGTTTGGATGTTTGAGTTCCCTGAGGGCCGTTCAGGTTTTGTCTCTCATCAAGGTGCTGTCTTCTGGCTCCTCCATTCCTATTGAGGGACCTGGTGGTTTTCCAAGAAGAGATACCCTTTTGGCCCTTTCTCCTCATGCAAGAGTAATAGATATACTACCTGTGTAGCACTGTTGATTACAAGTATGAGAGAGGCCCTTAAGTTTCCAAAACAAACTGCCGTCTCTCTGCTCAGTATTGGGTCCCAATTAGTAACGGGGGGTCTAGTTTTGCCCCTGCATCTGGCTTAATGCTTGTGCGTAAGCGGCCTTGGCTCCTTTTAGCAGCTTCATGTCAGCTTTGGTGCCTCCCTCAGGGCTGGATGTAAGAACAGCATGAATCATGGGAAAGAAGGGGTACCTCATGAAGCCAAGAGCCGCTGCAGATATTCCCACCAGTATGACAACCGGGTTTTCACCTGCAAGGTGAGTCCACCCAGCCTCTCCTCCAGCAGCTGGCTTGCTGGCCACACTCCCCTCTTGGGAAGACTGGTTCAGGACCACTCTTGAGCCAGTATCCCAAAGTATTTGATATTCAAATTGAGTCTCTCTGGAACTTCTCTCCAGCTCCAGCCATTAAAAACTCACATGTCTGTTGCCAGGCGCCCCTTGGTTTATTTTTTTTAAGCTTAAATCCCCCCTTTATCCTGTTGAGTCTGTATGCCGGGTTCATCTACATTACTTGTTTATTCTTCAGAATGGAATTGCCCTTCAGAAACCCAGTTTGGATGGATTTCTCCTGTCTATGACAGGGATAGAATTTGTAGCTCAGTTTTGGGCCCCTGGGACGGGTACACATTCAGATCATAATCATTCAGGGCACGGACTTCTTTGGAGAAAGACTTTGCTCTGCTCTGCTAAAACCCAGGGTCTGTAAACCCTGGTTTGCAGGCAGTGGGGCCGGACGGGGTTATGGAGAGGCCAGGGGTCTGGTGGATAGAGCAGAAGCTGGCAGAGTGCCCTGTGTTTCAGGCTTGCTACGAGAGAGGCAATGAAGTCAGCGTGGTGCCCAAGACGGCTGCTTCCACTGACTCCCCCTGGATGGGTCTTGCAAAATATGCCTGGTCTGGGTGAGTTTCAGTGGCCGGCAGTTGGGTCTGTGTGTGTCTCCAGGCCCCTGGTGTGGGGTTCCAGTATCTGTCTGCCTGCCTTGTAGGTACGTGATCGAGTGTCCCAACTGCGGCGTGGTCTATCGTAGCCGGCAGTACTGGTTTGGAAACCAAGATCCTGTGGATACGGTGGTGCGGACAGAGATTGTGCACGTGTGGCCTGGAGTAAGAGCTGTTTTATTTTTCTGTTTTCTCTTCGGGTTGTCCAGTTATTCCTGTGTATGGGAAAGTGGAACTTGTTTACAATGATGATTAACCATGAATTTGGTTATATTTGGTGGTTTAGGAAGATGTGATCTGGAGTGCCTTTTTTGTTCTAGACCCTTCATTTTTTTCCATTTCTTGCATAAATATTAGAAACACGATTAAAAATTGATATATAAACTGCCTTAGCAAATAAAACTTTATCTTTTCATATTCTCCTCACTCATTTTCCAAATGTATGTTTGTATAGATACAATTATAATTTATGTGCCACTTAACTGCTTTTTCTTGTACCACGGTTTTGCTTTGTTTCCATATTGCTTTCACTTTTCATGATTTTCATTTGTAATCACTATGTAATATTCTGTCTAATGTTATAGTTTGATTTCCCCATTCCGTTCACTTTGAATGTTCATGCTGTTTATGATTTTTTTATTATCAAAGAAAATGCTATTGTGACCATCTTCATGTAAGAAAGCCTTTGTTTTGGAGTATATTCTTCTTGAAGTATATTCTAAGAAGTATAATTACTATGAACCTTTACTGTTTTTAAATTGGATTTTTTAATTCAAAATGTTGGAAAAACGAAACTGTTTATGAGGCAGTGATACAGTGCTTTCATTCTGCATTAAACCATGACTCATACTTGGAATTACCCATCAATCACAGCACATCCAAAGCCTTTTCCCTTCATGGAAGGAAGATAAGCAATTTTCTATGTGTTGTTTGCTTCAATCATGTCAGACTCTTTTCAACTCCACGGATTGTAGCCCACCAGGCTCCTCTGTCCATTGAATTCTCCAGGCAAGAGCATCGGAGTGGGTAGTCATTCCCTTCTCCAGGGGATCTTCCCAACCTCGGGATTAAACCCGGGTCTCCTGCATCATAGGCAAATTCTTTACCATCTGAGCTACCAGGGAAGCTCTTTTCTGTAAGGGACTTATTTCACTTGGTGGTGTTCCCCTTTCTGTGTGATTCCTGAAGCAACAGATCCTAACCCAGCCTGGAGTGGGAGACCTCTTGGAGGAGGTGTCCTCTTTATAGGATTGTTTATTTCCTGGGCTGTATATCTCACAAGCCGAGTAGGTTCTGAATTGGACAACTGTGCACCGAGTCCTGTGGTCATCTTGAAGAGTAGTACCAGCAGTGACTCATAGGGTGTGATGTTGTTTAGAAGCCAGAGGGATTCTGTCCTGACCCGCTCTTCTCTGCCAGAAAATCTGTGGTTCTGAGTCGGCTGTGATGGGTGTATAACTCACTTGAGGCCCCTCTCCCTCCTTCCCTTTGCTCCCATCACTCAGAACATGATGGGAGCCTGCGTTTTCATTTCAGACGGATGGGTTTCTGAAGGACAACAACAACGCTGCCCAGCGCCTCTTGGACGGGATGAACTTCATGGCTCAGTCAGTGTCTGAGCTTAGCCTTGGGCCCACCAAGGCTGTGACGTCCTGGCTGACAGACCAGATCGCACCTGCCTACTGGAGGCCCAACTCCCAGATCCTGGTACGGTGGCAGGATGCCCTGGGTCCCTGGCATGGCCCATTCTCCTTGTGTTGCTTCGCCCTACCCTTAACTTGTTCTGCGAGGAAGGCTTGGAGTCTCTCTCCCAGCCAGATTAGCTTCCAGAGTGTTGGAACGGGTGGGACACACTTAAGACAGCTTGTGTCCTCTTTGTCCGCTGATTTCCCCTGTTATTTTCCAAGTGTTTTCATTGTGTTGGATTTTGGTTTACTTCCCCACAAGAGCCAGTTGTTATTGATCAAGTGTTTGAAGTCATACCTATAGACTATGGAGGAAAGGACACCTTTATAGGTCATTTAGGGTCATCCCCAGCTTGATACACAAACCTCACAGCTCCCACATCAAGGGAGCCCCCAGCTTTGTCCCAAACACTTATGACAGGAGACCTGTTCCTCCTCAGCTTCTCAGAGGCTCATGAGAAGCCATGAAAGAAATGAATCCTCGTTGCTTTTGTGGCTGGAATTACATAGTCCTTTCTGAGATCCCTGTGACTCAGCCAGGTGGATGTGAGTACCTTTACAGCACTTCTTGGAAGAAAATGTTAATTACAGCTCTGCTTCAGTAGGGTGTTCCATGTGGCTGGAGGTCTTAGGTCCCCTCCTTTGGGACCATCGGGGTCTTGCCATCCTCAGATGATCCTCAAGGCTCCCCAGGTTGACTTTCTCAGCTGAGCAGACGTGAATGACACCTGCCTCTCTGTTTGTTTTGGGCTTGGAACAGAGCTGCAACAAGTGTGCTACATCCTTTAAAGATAACGACACCAAGCATCACTGCCGGGCCTGTGGGGAGGGCTTCTGTGACAGCTGTTCATCCAAGACCCGGCCGGTGCCCGAGCGGGGCTGGGGCCCTGCGCCCGTGCGGGTGTGTGACAACTGCTATGAAGCCAGGAATTCCCAGTTAGGTAACGTGGGGCCCAGGAGCCACAAGGTGGAGGGGGACCCTCTCCTTGGCACTGGGTGTTGGGAATGGGACTCTCACCTGCCCAACCATCTTCCTCCCCGCCTCACTCTTTGAGAGCAGTCCCTCCCCTAGTCTTGCCCAGGCATCCTCTAAGCTCTTTGTCAGCTGGGTCTGGGGGGTGCTGTTCCTTAGGTAGGGGAGGGTTAAAGCTGTCCTGTGTTTACCATACACTTAGACTGAGTCCTCTCTTGGAGGAGGTTCTAGGTCATGCTTCTGGCCCACTGTAAAGGAAGGTTATAAAATAGCCCCAGAGGGCTGAGGTAAAGGACTAGCAGACCTCACTGGCTGTGGTGTGGGTGCCCACAGCCCAGACCCTTGCCACCCTTGCAGAACAGCACAGGGTGCCCTGGGAGAAGCATCTAGAATTTTTCATTTGGGAAATGACTCGGAGGTGATGGCGTTTCCTTCATCATTGTCTGCAGATATCACTGAGGCACAGGGGGACGATGAAGGCGGGACGCTGATCGCTCGGAAGGTGGGCGAGGCCGTGCAGAACACTTTAGGAGCCGTGGTGACCGCCATTGACATACCACTAGGTGGGCCTGGCAGTGCCTCTTTCGTGGGCAGTGTGTGTGGGTGAGGGCTCGCGAAGTGCCGCGCCTTGGGCTGTCGTTTTGTCAGCCTGCTGACCTGGATTGAGTCAGGCAGCAGGAAGGCGACTGAGAATTTACTTTCTCTGCTTCATGCTGAATACCTTGGTGGTTTCATGTCTGTTCTTGGAGGTCATCCTCTTAGGCCATCTACTGCTGCATAATAAACCACCTGAAAATGGAAAGGTTTAAAACAGTCACGTCTCACAGGAAAGGCAAGTATTCTTCTCTCAGTGGCATTGCCTGGAATTACTGCTGGATTTCCCAGTATGGCAGCTGGATGGGTCTTCGGGGGCCAAGCCAACCTCATTACACGCTGGGTGGCCTGGCAGGGGTGCCTCGGAGGTTGGGCCCTCGCTTACGCGCTGGGTGGCCTGGCGGGGCGCCTCGGAGGTTGGGCCCTCACTTACGCGCTGGGTGGCCTGGCGGGGCGCCTCGGAGGTTGGGCCCTCGCTTACGCGCTGGGTGGCCTGGCGGGGCGCCTCGGAGGTTGGGCCCTCGCTTACGCGCTGGGTGGCCTGGCGGGGCGCCTCGGAGGTTGGGCCCTCGCTTACGCGCTGGGTGGCCTGGCGGGGCGCCTCGGAGGTTGGGCCCTCGCTTACGCGCTGGGTGGCCTGGCGGGGCGCCTCGGAGGTTGGGCCCTCGCTTACGCGCTGGGTGGCCTGGCGGGGCGCCTCGGAGGTTGGGCCCTCGCTTACGCGCTGGGTGGCCTGGCGGGGCGCCTCGGAGGTTGGGCCCTCGCTTACGCGCTGGGTGGCCTGGCGGGGCGCCTCGGAGGTTGGGCCCTCGCTTACGCGCTGGGTGGCCTGGCGGGGCGCCTCGGAGGTTGGGCCCTCGCTTACGCGCTGGGTGGCCTGGGGGGCGCCTCGGAGGTTGGGCCCTCACACGCTGGGTGGCCTGGCGGGGCGCCTCGGAGGTTGGGCCCTCGCTTACGCGCTGGGTGGCCTGGCGGGGCGCCTCGGAGGTTGGGCCCTCGCTTACGCGCTGGGTGGCCTGGCGGGGCGCCTCGGAGGTTGGGCCCTCGCTTACGCGCTGGGTGGCCTGGCGGGGCGCCTCGGAGGTTGGGCCCTCGCTTACGCGCTGGGTGGCCTGGCGGGGCGCCTCGGAGGTTGGGCCCTCGCTTACGCGCTGGGTGGCCTGGGGGGCGCCTCGGAGGTTGGGCTCTCGCTTACGCGCTGGGTGGCCTGGCGGGGCGCCTCGGAGGTTGGGCCCTCGCTTACGCGCTGGGTGGCCTGGCGGGGCGCCTCGGAGGTTGGGCCCTCGCTTACGCGCTGGGTGGCCTGGCGGGGCGCCTGGGAGGTTGGGCCCTCGCTTACGCGCTGGGTGGCCTGGGGGGCGCCTTGGAGGTTGGGCCCTCACACGCTGGGTGGCCTGGCGGGGCGCCTCGGAGGTTGGGCCCTCGCTTACGCGCTGGGTGGCCTGGGGGGCGCCTCGGAGGTTGGGCCCTCGCTTACGCGCTGGGTGGCCTGGGGGGCGCCTCGGAGGTTGGGCTCTCGCTTACGCGCTGGGTGGCCTGGCGGGGCGCCTCGGAGGTTGGGCCCCACTTACGCGCTGGGTGGCCTGGGGGGCGCCTCGGAGGTTGGGCCTGGGAGAGCTTCCCCCTCGCCCCCATCCCGTGTTCTCCATGCCTCTGCACACGGGTGCTCCAGTGCTGGTGACCCCTTGCGGTGCGCCGCAGGGCTCTCAGACAGGCCTGGGCCTGGGAGCTGACTCTCCCACTGGACTCTGCTGTAGTCACAGAACCTGCCTAGATTCGAGGCAGGGGCCAGGGCCTCGATCTGCCACACCAGCCCGGCTGTTATTTCTTTTAAGATTTAAGAGAGTCACTCACCTGATGTGAGGGGGCGGGCTTGTAGTAACCAGAGGGAGATGAAGGGAAACCTGCCAGTGTGTGGAGGGCTTAGGCAGGGCTGACCGGGCCTGGGGCATTCCACCCCTTCATAGGGGAGAGACCAAGGGCTCCTGGGTGGCTGTGATGACAATTGCTTGGATCAGATTTAATCACAGAATGAGCTGATGACAAGCTTTTGACTTGAGAGTGTAGAAATAGATGGATTTATCCAGCCTAGGGCTCAGGTTGCATCTGCTCTCAGGAGACCAGGAGGGGCGGGGCCGCCCTTGGCAGAACCTGCCAACTGTGCTTGACAGGCACTCACCTGCTGAGCACTCACTGGCTGTTGGGTCCCAGGTCATCAGACACTTTATTTCTTGTAATCTTGTAACTGCTTTTGAAGGTGGGTTGTTACAGATGAGTAAACCCAAGGCCCTGAGAATGTAAGGAACCTGTCTTAATTCCACAGCCAACTGACTCAGGCTCAGTGGAACTGGGATGAAGCTGTGTCCTGACTCCAAAGCCCACACTTCACCATTGCTCCAGTGGTTCTTAATTCAGCCGTAGTTTAGGCTCACCTGGAGAGCGTAGTGGACAGGCACCTATCAGTGCCTGGGCCCCAGACATCCTGACCCGGGTGCTAGGGGGTGAGGGAGACCTGGGTGGAGGGGGTGATGTGTGTGCGGTTAGACTGTGAGCCAGTGAAGTGTCTGCCGCTGGCGTTTCGCCTGGTGGGACTCGGGTGCTGGGTCCCGCATGTGTCGCCTCTCATGTCCCCTTCCGTGACACAGGTCTGGTGAAGGATGCAGCCAGGCCAGCGTACTGGGTCCCGGACCACGAGATCCTGCACTGCCATAGCTGCCGGAAGGAGTTCAGCGTCAAGCTCTCAAAGCACCACTGCCGGGCATGCGGACAGGGCTTCTGTGACGAGTGTTCCCACGACCGCCGGGCTGTCCCCTCGCGAGGCTGGGACCATCCTGTCCGAGTCTGCTTTAACTGCAATAAAAAGCCCGGTGACCTTTAACCCCAGCTCCCTCTCCGAGTCCTTCACAATTCCTTAGGTTCTCAGGGTTAGAAACGAGGTCGCATTGAGGTAGGCCCTCCTGCTGGTCACCTGTGGCGGTGTGTGTCCTCTCTCCTCATCCCGGGGGCCCCTTTCCCGCTGTGGGGTGGCAGGTGGCGGGGTGCAGACAGGGAGCCAGGGCGAGCCGGGCAGTGGGCCTGAAGGCCTGAAACCCCCAGGGCGGGGGGCCCGAGCAGCTTAGAGCAAAGGGGAATGAACTCAAATCCACTACATTTTATTTCAGTTAAAAATAATAAGTACGTAAATATACACACACACACACACACACACCCCCATATATACATACGAAAGGAACATGGAGCGTGTTCAGGCTGCCGCTGGCTGTGAACACCTGCGCGGTCTGTCCCCAGCAGGAATCCGGGGGCAACGGGCAGCAGGTCTTCCCCCCATAAAACCGAGCCAGGTCCAAGGCCACTGCACTGCTAGCCTCCCTCTGCTGTTTCTCTCCGAGCCTTTGAAGCTTGTGCCCCTCAGCTGCCACGGTAGGAGTTTCCCAGACACTTTCTGCTGGGCGTGGCCTGTGGGGGAGCTCCCTGGGCCCTCCAGAGTCAGATCCCAGTCCCTGGCCTAGGCCTGTTTCAGAGACCACCCAGCTTCACGTGCAGGTCACGGATGGGTGGAGGGTGTGGTAGGGTCCCCAGACCCAAGGAGTCCCCGAGCGCAGGTGACGTGACGGCTGTCAAGCTGGGGGAGGGGGGTTGGGCACGGAAGGAGACAGGCCTTCCCCAGCACTGTTCCCTGCTTGTCGATGCTTCCATTCACTCTACCACTTGGCTTTCCCTACCCCGCAGCGGAGCATCTGCCCCACCCTCCCCTCCCAGCCCCCTCGAGCCCATCATCTACTGAGTGTTGCACTAGGGTTCTTGCTTATTTTGAAGTGTCTTAATCCTTTATTCCCAGACACACGACCCCTTGAGCTGTTGGACAGGTGGTCATAAGAAATTTTCCAGGGAAACAGTACAGAACGGACTGTTAGTGGTTTTTTTCCAAGTATATACAAACATTTCAGCGGATCATTATGAAAAAATTCTCCAGTCCTGGCGAGAGAAGTCAGATGAACTTTTTGTTTCTCAAAGAGCTGGGACATCCGTATTTGTCATGACTGGAAAGAGACCGTTGTGTTGAAATCCTGTCATCATGGTGGATTTTATCGTCAATGGCCAAAAACTAATTCGAAGTGACACAGTTCTTGACTGAACTGGGGGGTGGGCTAAGTTCAGGGAGGTACGTGGTGGTCACTCTTGGCATGTCACTGTGACGTGAGCCCTGGAAATGTGTTGGTCCCTCTCAGACCTGCTTCCTTCCCGCCTCCCATGGCCCAGTGACTGAGGCCTGCTCTAGTACTGTGTATTATTAAATTCGCCGTTATAAAGGAATCTTCCTGCGGAATATGGACTCTGGCCTCTTTCCTTTAAGTTGATCAGTATTATCTTGCTACCTCTTTCTAGTTGATGAAAAGTGAAAAAGTGAAGTTGCTCAGTCGTGTCTGACTCTTTGTGACTCCATGGACTGAAACCTACAAGGTTCCACTGTCCATGGGATTTTCCAGGCAAGAATACTGGAGTGGGAGACCATTTCCTTCTCCAGGAGATCTTCCCAACCCCAGGGATTGAACCCGGGTCTCCCACATTGTAGGCAGACGCTTTACTGTCTGAGCCACCAGGGAAATCCCCTAGTTGATGAAAGCTGGTGGCTTTTCAGAGCAAAAGCCAAGTGAGAGGTGTATGTTACCTGTGTGTATCTCAGTTTACTCCCCGGGAATGCTCTCTCCCAGAAGAGATTAGGTGTTACTAGTGACCTGTGGAAACACTGGGAGGAGACTCTTCTCTTGTATCTGTCCCTTTGGTACCGATCCTCTGCCCTGCCTTGCTCTGTCTGTCCAGCTCCCGGTGAACAACTGTTCTCCACCATCTCCTGTCCAGTTGTGTAGGCCGCCCCTGGGCGTGGTGTCTGCTGGACCACACAGGAAAGATGCAGAAAAGTCTTCCAAAATCGCTTTTTTACACTAGTCAGACCAGGAGAGGAGAAGGTAACCCGGTGTCAAAATAACCAAAAGGTCTCTTTTTTTTGTCCTACACGCCCAGTGTTCATCTTGGTTTTGTGGCGGCTGCTTTAATTCAGATGAGGCCAAGAATGCAAGTGGGTGGGTGGTAGGAGCAAGCAGGGAGATGGGTCTAGAAGTCACCTGTAGGAAAATTAGGTTTAAGGAGATCTTACACTTCCAGGACTGCAAGGAGATCCAACCAGTCCATCCTAAAGGAGATCAGTCCTGGGTGTTCATTGGAAGGACTGATGCTGAAGCTGAAACACCCAATACGTTGGCCACCTCATGTGAAGAGTTGACTCACTGGAAAAGACCCTGATGCTGGGAGGGATTGGGGGCAGGAGAAGGGGACAACAGAGGATGAGATGGCTGAATGGCATCACTGACTTGATGGACGTGAGTTTGAGTAAACTCTGGGAGTTGGTGATGGACAGGGAGGCCTGGTGTGCTGTGATTGATGGGATCGCGAAGAGTCGGACACGACTGAGCGACTGAACTGAACTGAACTGACACTTCCAGGGCAAAAGTAAAAATTCCATTCTGTCTAACACAAGGGGGTCGAATAGATTTCTTGAGCAGGAGACCCTTTTGGCTCTCTCACTCTTTAGCAGACCTTAGGCAAACTGCTTTCTTTTCAGTTTTTTTTTCTTTCCCCAGTATATTGGAGTGATCTTCACCTGCTTCATAGGGTCATAAGAATTAAAAGGGAATAATGGTGGCAAAACACACTCAGTGTCTAGATGTGGTAAGTGCATGCTGGGGAAACTAAGCGCCCTGGAGGTTTCCGTGAAGCTCAGACTCAACGGTTAGACGATTACAGATGAAATGGAGTGGAGAACAGCTTGCACAGAGGCCCAGGTGAGGGTGAAACATGTCCCAAGAGAAGGGGCAACAGGGTAAGGCATGTGTGTTCACATCTTGAGGCCACGTTTTATTCCGAGGCACAAGAAGCCATCGAGGGATCTTTGGGGAAGGTCATTCTTTGTGGCGGTGGCCTAGAGAGGCAGACTTGAAGGAGTAGGCCCAGAGGCCAACGTAACATGAATGGAGGAATTTAGCCTGCAGTTGTTTTCAGAGATGGTTACATGGAACATTTAGACCAGGACAGAGTGAGGGCTCACAGGTAAGAGGTAAGCGGGTAGTACCCTTGTTGGGGGCACTGAGTGTTGGATCTGTGGGCATTTCTGGTGACCAGTGTGTGCTACTGTTCTCATCTGTTAAGGCCACAAGCAAGCAAACAGCAAAGAGTTTATTGGAGCCTGGTGCTGATGCCACCCTTTGTTCTAGACCTTTCACTGTCATCCAGAGGGTCAGGGCAAAATGCTCAAACATATCTGCAAGTGAAAAACGCCTCCAGAGTGTGTGACAGACTTAGTCTTTGGGACACTCTTGACAAGCCAGTGTGCAAAATGCTTTATCAACTTCACAGTGAAGTTTAACCACTTTTCACATCATCTAGACCAAATGTTAGGAGCAGTGACCACTAACCAAACATAAAGAACAGATTGCTAAATTAAGAAGTTTTGATTATGTCCCCATCTCCTCTTTTTTTTAAGCCTAAGGCAAACATACAACTAATTCTTTGACAACTATTATTTGCCTAGTAAGTAACTTGGGCTGTGGCACAGTTGATAAGGAGTTAGGAAGGTGTTTGGGAATGTGATGTGCTCAGTCAAGTCCAACTCTTTGCGACCCCATGTTACTGCAGCCCACCAGGCTCCTCTCTCTGTCCATGGGATTTTCCAGGCAAGAATATTAGAGTGGGTTGCCATTTCCTCCTCCAGGGGATCTTCCTGACCCAGGAATCGAACCTCCGTCTCCTGGGTCTCTTGCATTGCAGGTGTTACCACTGGTTATAGCAGGTATAACCACCGGCTACATTTCAGAGCTCATCAGGTACTTTTTTGAGTAGTCAGTTGTCTCCTGTCTCTGAGAGACAGTGTACTGTTCAAAAGTGGACTGAGTAGCCACAGCTTCTCTGCAGTACAGAACTGTGGCAGAAGCTCTGCACTAGAGGTGCAATACCAAAGATGCTCTCTGTAGAAGGCAGATCATGTTATGAACAAGCTTGTGAGAACTTAGAACTTCGGGGGGTGAAAGTATGAGTCATATTAGGGTCATAGCTTAGCACTTATGCTTGTTTGTGCTCTTCGGGTGGGGGCATCTCACCAAAATCAATCCAAAACATTCTGCCAGACCTTTCAATCATGCAGCTATTTCCTGGGTCCTCCATGCAGGTCAGCATACCAGGGCTGCAGAGATACAGGGGCGATGTCTAAAGGATTGAACACCTAAGAATTCTGGTAATTGGCAAGCTTCTTAGCCTTTGAGGGCCAGAGCCAGAAAAATTTACTTACTTGGCGATTAAATATGAAATGCTAGCATTGCCCCAAGCCGCTTTGCGATTTCTCCTTAGCACTAGCAGTGTGATACCCAAGTATTGTCAGCAACTGGAGGAGTGTGGAAAGTAGAGGACGTGGTCTCGTCTGATACCAAGTCCCAGGTCTCTGCTTCCCAGGTCTGTGATCTGTGGTCAGTCAGTTTCTCTGCCCAGAAAAGGATGCTGATAATTTTTGTATTATTACTACTGCCCTACCTCCTTTACGGGTTGTTTTAAGGGTCAAGTCAGGTTAAGATAGGGGAAGTCATTTATAAAACCTAAAGCTCTGAAAACATTTATTACAACATACAGCTCATCTATTGGATGACCATTCTGATACTCTTAATTGGATTTGTTTCTCTGTACATTTAAGTCGTAGGACGGTTCTGGCAGGACACAGATGCGTAACACTCAAGGGGGTAACTGTAGAGTGTTTTAATTGGTGAAGCACACTGGACTAGCAACAGAGAGATGCAATTACCAGCTGCAGGTCTGAAGGGGCAAATGGAGAGAAGTTCCTGGAATCCAGAGAGCTGTGTTCCAGCAGAAGCTGTAGCCTGGGGTGGAGGAACACAGCCGCAGCCCACCAAATCCCAACAGCAGGGGAGCCAGAAACTAACACTCCCCCACAAGCTCCTGCCCTCTGCTTTCCTGCTGTTACGTCTGATTGGCCGAACCCAACCCGGGCCAGGGAGCCTGCTGAAAGCTTTGCAGCAAAGCCATGAAAGCTGGCCTCAGTCTCCATCTTTTGTTCCCTCACCCAAGATCTGAGCAGATGTTGCTGTAGCTGGTTTGATGCTATAGCAGCCAAGCATCACAAGGTTCTAAATCATGAACAGAAGCAATGCACCGTGTTGTGGTTCTTTATTTGGTAGAAAGATAAGCTCTTTGTATTAACACTGTATAAACATCTCACAAACTGCTGCTCTTGGATTACAAAAAGGCAAAGCCCATTTTCTTTGAATTGGGGACCTTGAATCGGATGTTCAAGTCACCATGATAAAATCAGGCGCTGCTGTACCTAACATTCTGGAAGGTGCTTCAAGAAATGCATGCTAAGGCCTGCCTACTATCTGAAAGGATCCATCTTTCCTTTGAAAGCCAATGAATGGTAATAAATGAGAATCCCAGAGATCTGACACTGGTGTTCAGTGAGTTTGAGAAGGCTAATTTAATGATGACCAACTCAGCCTTAAAAATCTTCCTCTAAAGACTCAGAGAAATGACTTCCCCTTCTCACTTGGCTTTCTCAAGGATGTTTTTCTGGGACCCAGGCACTGACTACTAACAGTCTCATCAGGCTTCTTGAAAGGGCTTTTGGTGAAAAAAGCAGCTTTAGTTACTGTCTACCTTCAGCCTTTAGAAAATTATTTTTTGTTAAAAAAAAGAGGGGGAGAGAGATCCTAAGGAATTCAACAAGAAATAGGCACCTTTTATGAAAAGGACTTTCAAGGCTCTTGAGCCCACAACTTAACTGAAATCACTTTACTGAAGTATCTCCACATAAAACATAGCACCTCTTCCTCAGCAGCTGGATGGATGGTACATGTGCACATAGACCACCCACTTAAAATGCCCTCACTGGAAACAGCAATTGTGGCAAAAATACGGCTACCTTAGCTCCCTTGAGTCACGTTCACATCCCTCCAGGCCGCACCCTGCAGTCAGCTGTAGGAGAAGCAGTAAAGGTCCTGCCGGACGGCCATGAGCAACCCTGGAGCTCCCCGGGCGCCGCCAAGCCGAGAAGAAAAGGCCACGCTGGGAATGTCGGCCTTGGAGGTGGGGTATGGGGAGGGTATGGTTCTGAGCAGTTGGCCATCGTGGAGGCTCCAGATTCTCGTGTAGCAGTCCTGGCCCACTAAGAGAGAGGGAAGACATGCGCAGGTCAGTGAGAACACAGAGGAGCAGTGGTGGAGGGGGCGGCGGTACTGTGGCCCTGGCTTCCACGACTCCTAAGGGCTAGAGGTGATGCCACACGAGCCAAGCAAACTCACAACGGAAACTGTCTCTGCAGATAAGATATCCCCTTTGAAAATTAAGGTTACAGGTTGCCCTGGTGCTCCAGAATCATGAGTTGCCGGTGTTCAAAGGGACAAGACGCAAAGGCTGGCTGGGACACCCTGGGTGGTTCATGGGGCATCTTGGCCATCGGGTGGCCCATTCTGTTTCTCTTGGTGACAAGGGCTGTTCAAGAGGGAGCCCAGCCCACCTGTTCTAGATGACATGCGGCTCATTTCCTTTTTGAGATAGTAACCAGGACGATCTCTTTAATTTCATTACATCCCGGGGCAAACTGGGTGATAACGCTCTCCAAAACATTTTCTGCTTTAATGGTTCAGTTCGTAAGATGTTATAGTCTTCAGTGTTCACAGGTCAGAGGAAACACACCAGACAACACTGATTACAGCAGCCTGGGCAGGCATTATGTGCTACTGGGGGAAAAGGCAGACCTCAGGCGTCACGGATTTCCGTGTGTGCTTCTGACCATCCGAGTTGACTCTATGACCTTAGGGGTGGGTCAGTTCAGGTTGTGCAGTTCAAGGATTACTGCAGCCAGCCCACTCCCCACACCTGCTTTCTCAATAAGGCTTGTATCTTTTCTATCGTCCAGAACACAGAAACTCTTCTGTGGTGAAAACTTATGGAAAATAGACTTAAGGAAGTTAATTGCTGGTAGTGTGGTAAGAGTAGTAAAAAATTCTAAGAAAGTTCTAGAAAAGTGATGCTTCTCAGCCACAAAAAGTTTCACAGCAGATAAGTACTTTCTGCAGGAGTATTAGAAGCTTTGAGATCTGTGAAGACTGAGAACATACTCCTTAATGACAAGGGCCTACTGTTTCATTTGTCAAACTGTCAAACAGTTATATAATCTGTCACCAACTTGTAGCTCCTCTCAAGGGGGCTTGGTGCTCAAAAGCCCTGCTTCTCTTCTGCACACCACAGATCACAGCGGGGGCGGTAAAGGGGCCGGGCCTTGGTTCCTTTACAGTGACCTTCATCTCTTTTCTCAGCATCCTCTGGTGGAAGCATGAGTACAAAGAACAGGGAGCTCAAGCTTTTCGACAGGACGGCCGCCCTGAAATGCGGACCTGGTGAACAGACTTAACCCCCACACCCAGGGCTCCTAAGTTGCTGTGTTTTATTGCTCCTCACTGGCCTGTAACTGAAGTCATGTCTGCCCAGTGACGTGGAGACAAAGGGCTATCCACATGCTGAGGGTTAAACTGTTGCTCACTGATGGCCAACTCTGTGTTCCATCTTGACTCCCAGAGCCCAACTGAATAAACCCCCCTTTATTCAGCTTGTCATAGAGTCATGTCTTATCTGCTTTAGCTGCAGGGGGTCCTAAGGGTCAGGGTCAGTGGGATGGAGCGCCTCGTCCCCAGGTACCTGCCACCACGATTCCTTCCTCCTCGTGCACGTGTAGGGGCAGGTGGGCATACTCGTTCACGTGCCCTTCGTACTGCCTGATGCACTTAGTGGTCCTCAGGTCCCACAGCTTGATCTGTGGGAAGAAGCACAGAGGCTGTCAGGAAGGGTCCAGCAGGTCCTGGTGAGCCCCAGGCATGAAAGCCAGAGGGGGCGAGGTGGTCTCCACAGACCTCTTCAAGTGAGAAAATCTAAGTCGCCATACTCCAAGTCCGAGAACCCATCAGAGGCACCAGGACCAGTACCCCATCCCTTTAGATCAGACGAGGCTCCGAGTAGGTGGCAAAGCAGCTGCCCTGCACATCTGGCACCTCACCTGGCCCCCACGTGCCTCTCCCCTGCCGCGGTCCAACATGAGTCTCTCCTGCCGAGCCCCTCCCCTGGCCCAGAGCAGCTCCTATGGCGGGAGAGTCAGCGGTACCCGTACCGTTCCGGCCATGTCGGACGCCATCAGGCACTGCTCTTCTTGGAGGATCTGCACGGAGGTCACTGCAGAGTCGTGGAACAGGCGGGTGGCCTTCCAGCCCTTGCCCTGATTTTGACAACGCAGATCAATGGCAAAGATTTCACCAGAACGACAGCCGTTAAACAGCAAAGGTGCCTGTGGAGAGAAGGACTGCTTGGTACCTCCCTCCAAGGCTGTGAAGGCTGAGTCCCCCAGAAGACACCCCCTGCCTCCCTTCTCTAGGTCAGAGGGATGGGCAGAGGCAGGCTCGTTAGGGTTCGCTCCTCAGTGGAGACGGAAGGGTTTCTTATCAAAGGTCAAGAACTGGACACCATGTGTCCCTCCAGTGTCCTCCCCTCTGGCTGCAACGGGCCCCTAAGGCCTCACCGTGAACCCCTCCCCTCCCGAACAGGGAGGGTGTCCCGTCCCCGCCCAGGCTCTGAGTGAGAAAGTAGGTGATGAGAGGGGAGTAAGAGACTAGAAACCCAGGGAAGACACGGGTCCCAAACAGAGTGTGAAGACGGCTGAGGAAACCTGAATGGTGAGTTCTGTGCTTATTGCCAAAGGCAGGGCGCCGCATCTCTTCCACCCTTTGAAAGAAAGGTGGCATTTTCTACAGGTCAGGTCTTTGAAATGTAGTAAGGACCAGAATTTTGAATTTAAATTTATACAATGGGTAGCTTGACAGCTGCATATAAAACTGTTACAAGTTGGGACATAATTTATACATTAAAATTTTTTTACTGTCCTGCTAGCTAATCTAAGCGCTCAAGAACGAACACTTCATTGAAACTTTAGGAAGTTGTTGAAAGCCAGCTGAGCCAGGCCTTTCTAGATCAGCCAAATTTCATTCAGCACTGACTTATTCACCCAGGTATCACTTCAGATGCCCTCTTTTTCCCTGTAAATGAGGGAGGAGGACTAGATTCCACACAAAGGAATCCCATTCCAACCCAGCACAAGGTCCCATCTTGGGAAACTGTGTTAGGCCCTTCCCAATCCGACCAACCGTGAGAGCAAACTGCTGGGTCAAGACGTCACTCCTGGTCCCAAACGACTGCTGGTGTCCCGTCACCACGCTGGTCACCAGGACTCGCCGAGACAAGCCTGACAGAGATGGACACAGGGCGGACAGTGTCACCCTGGGTCTGGGGAGAGGAACTGTGGACCGGCGTTTCGGGTCTGTGCTCTCCCTCAGCCTGGGCAGCAGGGCAGCTCACCTGTACTAAAGCAGTTGTTTGCCTGGATGTTGAGGGACCACGCACAGGACCAGGCCCCGGGGATCCGGAAACTGCAGAGCATGCCAGGCCGGTCTCCTGCTGAGGGGACAGCAGCAGTGTTTCAAGTCCAGCTGTGTGATCTTAAGCTAACTTTTTGTTAATTTTTTAAAATCAATAAAACATACATGAAAGGCACAAATCATACTATACTATACTATACTATGAGTTTTCTCAAAGTAAGCAGAGCTGTGTAACCGCCACCTAGGTTAACAGAATATTCTGAGCAGCCTGATACCTTTCATGTTTCTTCCCAATTACTACCCGCCTCACTCCTCCCTAACGGAAACCACGATCCTGACTTCTAAGAGCATCTCTTGGTTTTGTAAGGCAAATTCTGAACCGCTTTTTGCCTCAGTTTTCTTATCTGTAAAATGATGATACTACATCCTCCTGCTTCACAAACTGGCTGTATGATGAAATGCCAGGCACAAGGCTAAGTGTGCATTAAATCACTTAATCTTCCATGTGACCTGAGGGGGCAGATATTTACTTTCCAGAGGTTAAGCAATCTCTTTAAGATGGTTAGGGGCAGAGCTGGGATTCATGCCAGGTCTACCTGAGAGGCCTGATCCTTGTCTCTGATCCTAATTCTCTGAAACTGAAAACTTCATATCCAGAATGCTGCCAGGCCATCGGACTGCCTTCATCCATACAGAATTTAAGTATCCCTGACAGCACCTTCCATACAGTAGGAGCTTAACAGATGCTCTCTTGGTGATCTGTATATAGGCAGCCTAAGTAAATATTTTCATCTCCTATGTTGGTTACACATGCTTTTAACTGTTCTAGCTGCTGAAAAGACCTAAAAGGAGGGGATAAGTGAAGATGTACATGCTTCCAGTACAAATCCTGGGTGGGGTTTAAGGAATCCTCCCAGGTTCTCTGCAGACCGTCCCCACCCTGCAAGCTCCCACTTGGACTCACCAGCCTGTGGTCCCCACCCGTCTTGTCCAAGCCATCACCACAGAGCTTATGCTGCTGCTGGCTGCAGCTCCTGGGAGGCAGAGGACAAAGATGCCCCCGAGCACCTCCTTATCCATCAGTACCTGCATGATTACTGACAAACAGCGATGTGGGGAGCAGGGTGACACAGCCCGGAGACTCTGCAATTCCCATGAGGCACAGCCTGGAAAACCTGTTAAGGACAGTCAAGGACGAGTCTCCTCCAAGAGGAGAATGGGCATCAGCACTCTTTAAAAAAATCATCCACGTTTAACAGGCTCACATTTTCCATATTTAGTTTTGGATATTTTAAAAGGAAAAAAATGTCACAGATACACTTAAAGTCCCCTTTTTAACTTCCCCCACACAGAGAGACTTGCTACTCTAAAATAGGTCTGAGTTCTAGGCCTTACTACTACACAGTATTTGTCCAAAAGCAATGTAAAGAAGCATTTGATTTTAAAATACATGTAAACGGCATCACACACAATCTTCTACAACTGTTCAATGTGCATTGTTTCTGAGATGTAATTGTGGTCATATTTGTAGCTCTGGTTCAACCATTTGCACAACAGAGCACTCCTTTGTATTAACAGACCACAGTTTATTTCTCCGGTCTCAAGCTGCTGGGCACTGAAGTGGGTTTTGCCCCTCGCCCGCACCCTTTTTTCCTCTCTTCTTGTCCTTCTGTCTTCCACTCCCATGTATGGGAAGCTTCTCTTAAGAGTTTCTCACACCTGTGATAAGGATTTCATTTTACACAACAGTGTGCCCTATACACACAAACATTTGAAACAGGAGTTGCATAAAACATTCACCCTTACTAAATAGGAAACTGGCATTTTCCAGCAGTTTTCCCCATTCTCCTCCTACACCAAAACTTGGCACTATCAGACCTTAAAAACTGTGTTTATCTGAATGGGTATAAATGATCTTTTAACTTGCATTTCTCTGACTACATCTGATTAGTCATCAGGTTTCCCTTTATTTGAGCTGTCACTTTATATCCTTTGCCTGCTTTTCTACTGGACCGTCTTCTGATTTGGTTCCTTTCCCTTCAGAGTTTCAACAGGAACCTGTGTTTACTCCCTACTTCCTCGCCTTTTACTCTTCAACCCACTGAAGTCCAGGTCAGACCCTCATCTTTTCAGTGAAACGTTCTCCCCATGGTCTCCAATGAGCTCTTAATACCTAATCCCGATGAATGCCTTCCAGTCCTGCCCTGAGCCATGCAGCAGTTTCTAACGACACACTCCTTCTTGGCTCCATAAGCACTCCCCTGGTTTTCCATCCTTGGACCTTCTATCACTAAGATACCCCAGCCTAGGCGCTAAGCCCCTTAAACCCGTGTCTCTCCTCCACCTCTGCTCATCAGTTCACTCTCTCCCCACTACTCTTGGTCCTGCAGCAGCCTTCCCTCCAAGGTCTCATCCTCACAATCAGCCACCCTCACTGCTATGTCAGAAATGAATCCATGACCACCATCCTCCAGGGGCATCCCATAGTCCTGAGGATTTGCTTTTGCAAGGTCCTACCTAGCCAAAGACATCATGGATACCAAGCCACTTACTGCTGCCAAATGTGCCAAGCTCTCTTCTCACTCTTCCTTCTAATAGGTGCTCTGTCCCCTCCTTCCCATGTGGGAGTCACCTCCAGAGAGGCCACCCCGATTCCTGTACTCTGCAACTGCCCCATGGCCATCACTGCAGACTGATCACCTGTTGAGGTGCCCAGTTCCAACCTTTCACAGGGATTGTAGATGCTCAACAGATGCTGGAATGAACACACACCTCATCGAAAAATGTACCATCTGTGCCAGGCAGGCAAGTCTTGACCACCTGGATGTATGGTCTGTGTGTATCAAGCTGCCTTGGGTGGTAAGCCTCATGTTAAATATCTGTAGTACAGAGGCTGTTGAAACTATACATGAGAACACTGTGTCTGGGCAGCTCAATTCTTTCTGAAATAAATTTCTTTTCCTTTTAGGTTTGTAGGGCAAGGATGGGAGAAAGTCCTTACCCATGTTATTATGGCTGAAACCCAGGTTACACTCAAACTCTGCACGGTACTTACAAGGGCCAGTATCAAAGTTTTTTTTTTTTTTTCAGTATCAAAGATTTAACCCCTGAATAGGCCACAGGTCAGTGAAGAAACTAGTTAAGTGTAGAAGAAATTCAGTCAAACCTTCCGCCACTCCAGGGCAAAGAGCAGATGGCTGGTCTGAACTAGGTGTCATTTTTGTAAAGGGAGAGAGTTCAAGACCTTCAGTAAAAGCAGCAGGTGTATAAAATCCTGACTACCCGAAATGACCACCAGAGGGCAAGCTGCCGATCAAACAGCAACATTCCCCACTCACTAAACCCATGACAGGCACACTTGCTTTACTGCTCTTTGCAGATAGTGTTTTGTTTTGTTTTTTTAAAACAAATTGAAGATATGTAACAACCTGATGTTGAGCAAATCCACTACTGTTGGTATTTTCCCAATGGCATTTGTTCATTTTGTGTTTTTGTGTCACATTTTGGTAATTCTCACAATATTTCAAAATTTTTCATTACTATTTTACGTTACAGTAATCTGTGATCAATGATCTTTGATGTTTACTGCAAAAAGATTGACTTGTCTTCAACAAGTCAAGCTCAGATGATGATTAGCATTTTTAACAACAGTATTTTTAAGTTAAGGTATATACGTTGTTGCTCAAATATAATGCTGCTGCACACTTAACAGGATAGTGTAAACAACTTTTATATGTACTGGGAAACCAAAGAATTCATATGACTTGCTTTATTATGATATTCTCTTTATTGCAGTGGTCTGGAAGTGCACTATCTACACTATCTCTGAGGTATGCCTATAAATGAATTTTTATCCTTACAAAGAGAAGCATGGAAAAATGCCATATTGTCTGAAGATCAGAAATGGGAGTGAGATTCTTGTTTTGCCTTTTTTAAGGTTTGATCTCTTCTGCCCTCTAGTAAGATTAAGATAGTAACAGGTGGTCCCATCACTATACAAACCCCACCAAATGAAAGCCACCTAAAACTTTCTACTTAAAGAACACACACAGTTTGTCTTACATAAAATTTATAATCAGATCCTAATAAAACCCTTTGAAACAGAGTGTTGTGGAACAAATTAAAGAAAAACAAACACTCCCCCTTTAAAAAACCCCCACAAACCAAAGCAACAGATTCCAATTGAGGCATCATTTGTTGAGGACCCATGACATGGCCAAGCACTGTGTGGTATGTATTCACAGATGTTGACCAGTTAACCTGAGGACAACTCTAAGTGAGGCATAACAAGTGGTCACACAGTTTCAAGAACTCATTTGTTATGGAAATAAACCACAACAAGACTCATTAACACATGGCTTTGACTTTGGGTCCTTCTCTCCATGAAGGACACGATGGACAGCTGACCTCTGTACCATCGAGAGTGCCCAGGGACCCCAGCTACCCTGACACTGCACTGTGTGCCCCTACAATCCGGGAAGGGAAAGCGCAGACTAGAAAGAGGAGCGCTCTGAAGAAGGCCGTTGGGGGCAGCAGCCTAGGCCCAGAGCCCACAGCCCCAGTCCATGTCCAAGGAACGTCCTCTCTGGCATGCCCAAGCCTCCCCACCCCGCCCGCAAGTTCCCCTTCCCTGTGTCTCGGGAGGACCTGGGGTCCCTTTCCAAGGCTTTACTGTTCCTCTGCATTTGGTTCCTCTGCTAACGCACTGACTCTCAAGTCCAGACCTCTGTCTGATACGTGGTGACATCAACACAGTTCCAGCACTTCAGCTACTTCTCTGTGCTCCATGGGAATCCCTGTTTTCTAGCAGGTGCACCACACTTTCCTCCTGGCAAGACATGCACACAGAATGGTCCAGACTCCTGGACACTAAGACAGAGTCTCACAAATCCCACAGGTGCCCAGGTCTACACCAGGGTGCGGCCTGCCCACCAAACCTCTTCACTGCCCAAAGATACAGAACGTGGGAATCCAGGTGATTCAGCGAGGCCCAGCACATGGCGTTCACCTGGTGAGGAAACACACAGCAAGATGGGGAGACTGGTCAGACAGCCAACTTAGAAACAGACGCTTTCTTACAGAATACAGACACCTGACTGCTTTCTTCAGGTCTCACTCCTTGAGCAGGGGCTGGAACAAACTTCTAAGGACAAGGAAGCTCCCTGTCCACCACGTAGAACCTTGAGGGCAAGGGGAGGAAGCAACTCCTGGGCCGGGGTCATTCATTATCAGCATGGGAGGGGGGCCCTCACAATGAGGCATCTGGTATCCCCTCCAGGGAGGGGATGGATTCTCTGCAATGGATCTCACTTCACCCAGAAACCATTTTCAACCTGTGTCTGTCTTGTGGCCCAGGTCTCAACAGAAGAGGAAGTCACAGCTTCTTACAGATGCTATCACCCCAAATCAATGTAAAGGCTGCCCTCTAGTCAGCAAGCAAGCCCCTTACATTTACGTAGATTTCAGTGCTGGCTAGACTGGCTGGGAGATAAATACAGAATGATGCAGTGGGAGGACCCTCTGCCCACCGTGGCCCACCTCCTGGGAGCTAAAACACTGTGCTTCCCTTGTGAAAATGAGGTAACGGAGCCCTGCCTCCTTCACTGAGCCCTCTCCTCTCCTCTGAGTGTGGCCAACTACCACAGTGCCCTGGATTCAAAAGCAAAGTGGCTGCCAAGGCTACAGCGCAGGGCAGCGTACCTTCCGGTGGGTGAAATAGAGGTTTTCGTGCATATGCACCCTGAACGTGGGGGTCGTCAGGCCGTGCAGGCTGATGATGCCGTACTTGGAGCCCCCGACTTTGACATCGTTCACAGTGAAGAGCCGCTCACTGTTGGTATCCGCCTGGAGAGGAGAGGTGGACTGTGGGTGACCGCCCAGGGTGAGCCAGGTGGGCTGCCTAAGACCAACTGCCCAGCCCCCACGTTCTCTGTGCATTTCCACCAGGTGAGGGCCCCTGTCCATGCGGGAGTGTGGAGTGACCTGACTTGCCCCTACGTGGTATAGCTATCACTGGGCAAAGCTAACAGGTATCTGGTCTCACAACTCAGGAGCAAAAATGGCAGTGAAGGGCACAGCCAGCAAGTCTGACCTCACTCAACTGGGTGTGGGAGAGTCCTAACGTCCACCCAGAGGACTGCTCAGATGAGCCTCATGGTGACAGAGCACGTGGCCATCATGCAGGCCACACAGCAATATGGGAAATGCTAGTTATAGCTGCCAAGGGCTAAAAGAATGCAAAACCAGATTCCTATTACATAGCTACTGTGATTACCACTGCAGGAGAGGCCAGTTCGATTCCTGGGCCGGAAAGATCTGCTGGAGAAGGGATGGGCTACCCCCTCCAGCATTCTCGGGCTTCCCTTGTGGCTCAGCTGGTAAACAATCCGCCTGCAATGTGGGAGAGCTGGGTTTGATCCCTGGGTTGGGAAGACCCCCTGGAGAAGGGAAAGTCTACCCACTCCAGTATTCTGGCCTGGAGAATTCCATGGACCGTATAGTCCATGGGGTGGCAAAGAGTCGGACACAACTGAGCGACTTTCACTTCACTATAATTACCACCAAGTCAAAAAAGGCCCTGCGTGGGGAAAAAAATGCAATAAAAAGATGGCACTGGGATGTGGGCTATTCTCATTTAAAAAAATGTGGTTAATTATTTCAAAGCAAAACTTTTATATGTGTGTTTTTAATATATATGTATAAATATACACATATACACACCGGTTTGGATGCTGGTAAAAACATACTCCCTTTGCAAGATCACTCGGCAAGAACAGGTATGTTCCTGAAGAATCATAACTATGACTAGCATCAGATGGAAAAGCTGATCCCTGGGGGACAGACTGCCCTTCCCACCTCTCTGGTCACACCTGCCCTCCAGTCATCATAATGGAGTGACGGGGAGGGTCCTGCAAGCACCAGCACCAAAGTGGGAGGACCGGGTGCCCAGGCCACGCTAAGCAGCAGATGCACAGTGACCTCTACTGTTCCCACCCGGACAGAATGTGAGTCCTGGCCCCCAACACCCCTTCCGCAGAAGGGTTCTGCTGCCCAGGTCTCCTGGGGCTGGACCTCAACGGTCAGTTCCATCGCCTTGGCCTCCCGTCCTACCAGCAGACCACTGAGGTTCTCTCACTCTCCTTGACTGGCCCTCTGCCTCCAGGAAGGCCTCCAGGGGTTGCCAGTCTAGCTCAGGGGTCTGACTCCTTCTGGCTGTGGTGGACACTCTGATCCTCTGCCAACATGTCTCTGGCCCCCGGCTTCTGATTCAGATCTAACCAGAAGTGGGAACTTTCTGTTCCCCAGAAATGATGCAATGGATGATGAAATGGAGGTGTGCTGGATGAGCAGGCCCTGCTACTGAGGTCAGGGACAAAGCAGGAGATGAATACGCTGTTGCTTCTGAAGGACACTGGAACTTCAGGTTTGGCCACCAAATCCTGCCCAGCACAGGAAGGATTAGAGGCCTCTGGTCCACCGTGTACTTTCTCACGTGTGTACACAACATACCCAGTGGGAAGTTACTTTGTGATGGTTCTCCGTCGGCGCTTTAATGGATGTCAAGCAACACAGCTGTAGTGGGGTGACAATGGTCACAGCACAGTCTATCTCACCAGCTTGGCATTTGCCACTGGGTAGCTGCTAGTTAGAACCATAATACCTGGTTTCATGGCTAGTGGCTTCTATGCAGTCAGGCTTGATGGAAACCAAAGCAAAGCCACAAATGGTCCTGGGGACAGCCACTACACCCCAGCACCCGCGGATGGCTCCCGTGCACTCACCATTATCAGGTTAAACTGGTCACTTGCCAAAGCAGAGGGATCCGAGCTCTGAATTTGGACCTTTTTCCTCTGCATGCAGCTCACTCGCAGCTCGTGGGCTAAACTGCAGAGGAGAAAGAGAACAGCACAGGAGGGTGGACGCCATACCTAGGTATCCATGAAGAAGGTACAGGGCTTCTGCTCTGTCCCACACCCAGAAGACCATCTTTGTGGGTCAGTTCTCTTTTCGTGTTCAATCTCAGCAGCGGAGCTGAGCAAGGCCCCAAGGAAGCTCCATTTAAGAATCTTAGGAAAACTACAGCAAAGAAATGGGTGGCTCACTCATGGTGTCAAAGAAGGTCACACTAGAAAGATTGGTTTTGGATCATCTAGCGCAACTCTTTCTCTTGGGATGAAGAGCATGTGACCAAACGGAACAACCCGCTGAAGGGCACACAGTTCATGTGCAGCCGCCCATCCGATTGCCTCCTTTCCTCTTCACCAAGGACTGAGCATGTCTTCGGGTGAAGAACAGATCTTTCTAACTAGCCCTTTAACTTTTTTCCCACCCGCACTGGCTGATACTGCCTGTAGGGCCGTTCTTCCCCGGAAGGGGCCTCCCCAAGGAAGCCACCCACACTCATGTTGTTTCTTCCCTGGCCCAGCTGTAGCAGGAAGAAGCAGAATGCAGGGGCTAGGAGCTCAGGCTTAGGAGTCAGATAGATGGTCGGTCCCCTTTCTACCTTTGCCCTGAACAAATCATTCCACTGAGTCTGTCTCTTCTTTTGGAACCTGGGGGAAGGGTCAACCTACCTCACAGGTCTTTGGTTAGAACTGTAGACATTACAAGTGTTTGAAATTTAGTACATACCCATTTAACGTGCCAGTTTTGCTGACAACTCGTTAGAAGGAGAAAAGGAGGCAGAAGTCTGATGGGATGAAGTTAAAGGATCTTGTACTTAACTAGAAACAAGATACAGGTAACGAAGAGGAAACACCTTGAGAAATTCCTGCCCAGTTTCTCTGCCTAGATCCCTTCCCTGCTCTCGCTGGCTCTAGAAGGAAGGTGATGCTCCCAGGACTGACTTCAGCAGTGGAAGGCAGGCTGTGGGCTGGAGCGCCTCCACTGTGAAGGCTCCTCAAAGAGCAGCTACGCGCTCTATGCTGACTTACTGGACCATGGAAATAAAAAATAGGAAAAGAACACTGATGAAGAAAACATAACCATGAGGCATTATCTTACCGGCAGTAACAGGTGGAATTGAGAAAACCCAGCTTGCTTTTCTGGAGTAAGGAAGATGTATTAAATCCCAACCTGGCTATTTTCTAAATTAAAGAGAGAAAGATTTGATGAAGTTTTCTGTTATTGTATAATAGATTCTGTTTTTAGGCTGCAATGAAGAAACAGGTACTAAGTTGACAGAAATTACACGCATAAAAATCTGATCCTCTCCTTTGCTAGTTTCTTCTCTTTGGAAAGAGGAAAAGCCTATCACAACAAACTATGTGAGAGCTGCAAAGTCTGCTCGGCACCCTTCTCTCCAAGGCCCCCGTCAATTTAAACCTGAGATGAGGCCACTGAGCTAGAGAGTGCAGGAATGGCCCTAGCCACTCAGGTCTGCATCGTGCTTTCCATTTGAGCTACAGTGACTGTGGAGCCCGGATTTTCCATTCCAGTGCTCCTGTGATCGCTGAGATGTCCGGTGTCTTATCCCCAGAAGGGACCCTGGAAACCCTCCTATCCAAACCACATGATCTGGTTTTCCATTGAAAATACTCAGTCACAGAGGCTGTATCGGGTTGCTATCCAAGAACCTCCGGGGGAGGAACAGAGTGTCAGGATTACTGATGAAACCTAGCAAATGAGAAAAGGTGGTGGTGGTGGGAGGAGTATCTCGCCTGTTCCGATTCTCTTCATCAGGCTGTCATCAGGGAAAACTCGATGATACCCCCCAAAGTGTGCTACGCCGAGTGTTATGGGGGGTGTTTAACTGACGCCTCCTTGCGGCAGTGGGTGGACGCTGGCAGGAGTGGAGGGGACGGGGCAGCCCCTGGGGCGTGGTGCCTACCTTTCCCTGCCATTTCTCTTCCTCTAGCAGCTTCAGCCTCTTGCGCTCCATTTCCTTCTGCCGGATACTCTCCTTCGTGAGAGGGTTGCAGTTGTTATGTCCAGGCAGCAAGCGGAAGTAACGCTTCTTTTCAGGATCAAAGTAATAACCTGGTAGATCTTAAGTCAAAAGAAATAAAATTCAACTTAAAACTCCATGAACTTAGCCCCCCAAGGAGGAGCCCAGGGGCCTACCCACCACCCCTCCTGGTTGCCGGTCCTTCCCGAGGGACAGCAGGTGGGCGAGCACTGCCAGTCACCACCCGGGGCCTGAGTTCAGCCCGTAGGGAGACGTTTGCCTCAGGATCTCGGTTCTTAACACACTCAGCTGCTCCCTTGAGTGTTTAAACTTGCTCCCAGGATTTCCTCCGAGTCAGGAATGGGCCAATGACACACCTAGAGTGTACCACACACGAGTGAAGACACACAGGGCTGAGGAGAAGGACAGTCAGGACAGACAGAACCAGACGATGCGGGATGACTGGGTTTCATCTTTCCCCGCAGGTAGGCCCTGGAGGAGCCCTGTCCGGCAGGCGGCCTCACCTGGCACAGAAGAGCTGCCAGCTGGGCTGGAGGTTGAGGGGGCCTCCCCATGGTCATCGCTGGAAGCCTGCGGGCTCTGCTGCGCCCCTGCGTCATTCCTGTTGACACAAAGAGTAACCTGGAGCCAGTGAGTCCCAGTCATTCTCTGACAGTGGGTCCTGCAGTTCCACAGCCTTCACATTCCCAGCCCTCGAGTACTTGGGAAGCACTGACCCTTCTCTTCCTTGGAAGCAGTTTACCTACTGCCAATATACCAAAGTTAGGGCAAGGTTTTGGTTTCTCTCCTTTAAGGATGCAGGTCATGGTACTTCCCCTTTTGTATCTCCTCCTTTGAGCATTTTCTGAGGTCTTCTGGAATTTTCCAGATGAAAATGAGAACAGAACTCTTGGCCAATAAGAATTTTACCAGCTGGGCTCATCTTGTAGCTCAAGAGTAGCTACAAGGCCAGGTGAATTGCAGTCTTTACTGGATTCAGCAGTACAAAGAATTTACATTTTACTTGGCTACCCAAGCCTACAGTTAGAGAAACTGGGGTTCGAGCACAGAGGTGATTTCCTCAACAACACTGGGACAGAGCCATGGTTTAAAGACTCATTCTGCAAAGCTACAAGTAGCTCCTGTGGCAATTATAGGCTGAAGGATATAATGATAGAACAAAAGACCTAATTTTAGAATTCTGATAAAGTCCAAAATTATGAACCTTCCCTGCCCCCATAACACTGAAAGGAATACAAACTGCAAAAAAAGGTTAAAAAAAAAAATCAAAGAACTTTGCCTATAAATACTAACTATGCACAGTTTCGGAGAATATTATTTATTCTCCCTTTTTATGGCCCAGAGCTTCCTGAGGCAGTTCATCTGTGATCAGCAGCAAGACAGAGGGGGATTAAGTGTCATGACAGATGTCTATATTTCTAGTCCAAGGACTGCTGTTCCCTTCTTTCCACGTGGAGTGCAGAGGATTGTCCTGCGTGTTTCCACGCGACTCTGCCAGGCTGAGTCAAGGTGCTCTTCTTACACAGACCACATTCTAGTGCATGTTGCGCTCCTGGGGGAAGGCTTGGGGCCCATGGTTCTCCTTATAAAAAGTATAAACACTGGGCACTATCCTGATCTTTCTACAACATGGGTCAAGTTTGGGGCTTCAGCTAAGAGTCCCTATTAGCTTGCACAAGGTGAGGCCCACCCATACAGAAGGCCTGCTCAGAGCCAGGCATCCTCATGGGGCTTTACATACACTACTGTGACTCTCGCAAGAGAAATACTGTATATAAGAAGAGTGACTCAGGGTGATCAAGTAGGTCGCCCGATTTCACAAGTGAAAAACGCAGAGCGTCAAACCCAGATCGCCTAATTCTAAAGCCCTTATTCCTTCCACATTTTGATGCTTTTCTAAAACTTGTGTTTTTTTTTTAACTCTTTTGAGTTAATCTGTTCTAGAGAAGCATAATGGCATTTAACATCTTCTGATCCTATAATTAGAAAGTTGTCCATTTTAAAAGGAGATCTGGAGTGTGGAAGGGTTCTGAAATTGGAATATAAGTCTCCTCTGGTGAGGAATGGGCTGTAGAGACCTCCTAGGGCCAGAGGTCAGGTCAGCAGCCCTGAACTGTGAGGAGGTATCCTCTCCTGGGGTGGGGTGGGGTGAATCATGTCCTGAGACTAGACTGTTTGTACTTCATTCATGCAGAAAAACAAGTGTGGAAAATGTTTATTATAGGGATTCCACCTAAGTATACACTGTTTTATTTTCGAAGCTGGGTGGTAGGTACGTGATATTCACTGTATTACTCTTTCTACCTTTCTGTGTTCATTAAATATTAGCTATTATATATTACTTGGGATTTAGGCTGAATTAATGAAATTAGGTTTCCAGAAAGCTATTTTCATAGGCTGAAAAAAAAAAGAGAGAGAGAGGAAAAAGGTCTAAAAAATGGAGAAACAGCTCCTCAGTTATACCAGACAATGTTTACGCTAAGCCTGTGGCGAGGGCTCTGGCCACAAGTCATGGTCACATGGAAGAGAAAGATGAGTGTGGCCATCTCCTCACTACTCAAAGTGTGGCAGACAGCCCTGGCCACAGCAGAGACACCCCCATGGAAGTGTGTGAGATGTGTAGACTCTAGTCAGCCCCACCTCAGATGCTGCATTTGGTCGAGACCCTTAGGGAGTTACATGTGTGTGAGGGTGCTGGCAGTGCTAGGAAGACACGGGGCAACAGCACTTGCCTTTCGTTAGAACCATGTTGCCTGAACCCAGCATTGTGTCGGTGGCCCCTTCTCCCATGTCTTCTACTGTGCCAGCTGCTTTTATGCATTTCAGCTCCTAAAAGACAGCAAGAAACAAAAATTACATGCAAATGCACGTGTGCACATCTTTCTCTTGTTTGTTTTTGACAGTTCAGTTCCTTCACGTACAGAACTAGGCAAAAGGATGTCCCCAACCTGAGTTATCACGAAAGCCACCACCAAGCCTTACTTGGAGGACTGCCACCAGGAGGACACATGGATAAAACCCAATGCGCCCGTAGCCACCTCGCTGTCTGCAGCCCTCTTACCTCACAGCAGACACCCGGCCCACCAACCTCCACTGCCCGGGTCACTGTGTGACGTGTTGACAGACTCTCACAATTACTTTTCGACTAAAGTCTGAGCCTGCCATGAGAACCTTCTTCGGCTAGTCTTCTTTCCCTTACCAGATTAACACCAGAGCTATATAATAATTATTCTTTCAATCCACACACATCCCTGATTCATACAGAACAGTTAATAGTGAAGACTTTCTCTTTCTCAGTATCGATCAGGAAAAATTGTGAACAAATTAAATGGGGCCAGTGCCTGTGACTTCTCAACATGCTTTAGAGAGTGTTTTAGCTTCCTGAAGTACATTAACTGTTAAAGGCAAGGGTGTGCATGTGCATTTGTTGAAATGATGACACTGATGCTGCCATAACTATTTCAAGTGGCTTTTTCAAATCTTACCTTGTATAGCCTGAATTTATCACTTAGTTGTCAAAATGTCACAAGTTTTAACAATGGGAATCACACTAGGAATTCTTAAGAGACTGAACTGTAGTATGGAGTCCAGTTGCTTCGAGATTCATGCTTTCCCAACACCCGGTTGGGATTCCTTCCCCACTCACTGGAGACACCGTGACATCTGACTGAATGTACTTTATAAATGTATTTAAATGCCCTGACAAAAATCGGAAAAATATTTCTAGGAACTAGAGAACAGATAAGAATCTACTTGCCTTTGTACAGGAGACAGGTATCAAGACCATCCCCAAGAAAAAGAAATGCAAAAAAGCAAAATGGCTGTCTGAGGAGGCCTTACAAATAGCTGTGAAAAGAACAGAAGCAAAAAGCAAAGGAGAAAAGGAAAGATATTCCCATTTGAATGCAAAGTTCCAAAGAATAGCAAGGAGAGATAAGAAAGCCTTCCTCAGGGATCAATGCAAAGAAATAGAGGAAAACAATAGAATGGGAAAGACTAGAAATCTTTTCAAGAAAATTGGAGATACCAAGGGAACATTTCACACAAACATGGGTTCAATAAACGACAGAAATGGTATGGACCTAACGGAAGCAGAAGATATTAAAAAGATGTGGCAAGAATAAACAGAACTGTACAAAAAAGATCTTCATGACCCAGATAATCATGACGGTGTGATCACTCACACTCACCTATAGTCAGACAGGTGGAATGTGAAGTCAAATGGGCCTTAGGAAGCATCACTGTGAACAAAGTTAGTGGAGGTGATGGAATTCCAGTTGAACGATTTCAAATCCTAAAAGATGATGCTGTGAAAGTGCTGCACTCAATATGTCAGCAAATTTGAAAAACTCAGCAGTGGCCACAGGACTGGAAAAAGTCAGTTTTCATTCCAATCCCAAAGAAAGGCAATGCCAAAGAATGTTCAAACTACTGCACAATTGTACTTATCTCACACGCTAGTAAAGTAATGCTCAAAATTCTCCAAGCCAGGCTTCAGCAATACGTGAACCGTGAACTTCCAGATGTTCAAGCTGGTTTTAGAAAAGGCAGAGGAACAAGAAATCAAACTGCCAACATCCACTGGATCATCAAAAAAGCAAGAGAGGTCCAGAAAAACATCTATTTCTGCTTTATTGACTATGCCAAAGCCTTTGACTGTGTGGATCACAATAAACTATTGAAAATTCTGAAAGAGATGGGAATACCAGACCACCTGATCTGCCTCCTGAGAAATCTGTATGCAAGTTAGGAAGCAACAGTTCGAACTGGACATGGAACAACAGACTGGTTCCAAATAGGAAAAAGAGTATGTCAAGGCTGTATATTGTCACCATGCTTATTTAACTTATATGCAGAGTACATCATGAGAAACGCTGGGCTGGAGGAAGCACAAGCAGGAATCAAGATTGCTGGGAGAAATATCAATAACCTCAGAAATGCAGATGACACCACCCTTATGGCAGAAAGTGAAGAGGAACTAAAAAGCCTCCTGATGAAAGTGAAAGAGTGAAAAGTTGGCTTAAAGCTCAACATTCAGAAAACTAAGATAATGGCATCCAGTCCCATCACTTCATGGCAAATAGATGGGGAAACAGTGGAAACAGTGGCTGACTTTGTTTTTCTGGGCTCCAAAACCACTGTAGATGGTGACTGCAGCCATGAAATTAAAAGATGCTTACTCCTTGGAAGGAAAGTTAGACAGCATATTTAAAAGCAGAGACATTACTTTGTCAACAAATGTCCATCTAGTCAAGGCTATGGTTTTTCTAGTAGTCATGTATGGATGTGAGAGTTGGACAGTGAAGAAAGCTGAGCGCTGAAGAATTGATGCTTTTGTACTGTGGTATTGGAGAAGACTCTTGAGAGTCCGTTGGACTGCAAGGAGATCCAACCAGTCCATCCTAAAGGAGATCAGTCCTGGGTGTGCATTGGAAGGACTGATGTTGAAGCTGAAACTCCAATACTTTGGCCACCTCATGCGAAGAGCTGACTCATTTGAAAAGACCCTGATGCTGGGAGGGATTGGGGGCAGAAGGGGACGACAGAGGATGAGATGGTTGGATGGCATCACCGACTCAATGGACATGGGTTTGGGTAGACTCTGGCAGTTGGTGATGGACAGGGAAGCCTTGCCTGCTGCGGTTCATGGGGTCGCAAAGAGTCGGACACAACTGAGCGACTGAACTGAATTGAACTTGCCTTTATTCCCCAATCTCTACTTTTGAGTAGGGAATGCCTGCCTGTTAGCATCAAACAGAGCACTGGAAGTCCAGACCTATGTTCCAGAATTCACTATCCAAAGACTCTCTGTCAACCTGTGAGTGTGAGTTGGGGTTAATTCGATACAAATGAACAGAAATTAAGTATCATACTTAAACATTTCATGAATTCTGTAACAAAGTCCTTGATTTCCTTCATTTCAAAGTCAGTCTTCTTCCCACAGAGTCACTGCACAATTTGGATTAGTTTAACCAGCCACTCTCTAGTCCTGTGCCAGAAAGAATATGCACCACTAAAGTTCATCATACAGTGATGCCGACTTGGAGTCATCATAAATGTTTCACTTTCATCCTCTGCTGGGACATCATAAACTGTACCTAGTTTTATTTACTCCTAGTCTGGTTCACTCCTGACAATACGGAGCGTTATCACTCTCCTAAAATCCTTTCCACTTCCTTCTAGTCACTGTTAGTACATAGCACAGCTCCCCACTTCACCCAAAAGACAGACATTACCAGCACAAATACCCCAACTTCTTTCTCATCTCCTACACAAATGTCTGCCTTTACTAATTTTTATCATCTTCCCTCCTGTCTAGGAGAAACAGGTGTCCCTGTGCCTTTTCCAGGCAAACCCATCCCTCCTGACCGTTTCCTTCTCAAACTCTGCCGACATCTGTTCTCATATGTTTAATCAATCTCCTACTTTCCTTATCTCAGCTTATAAACATGCTCTGGTTTTTCATTTGTATGTGCTCCACCTCCAATCAAAAAGGAACAAAACTGTTCTGGAAGCACAATCTGTATGTACACACCCTACTTCTTTATTTTCCAATCATTCCTCAATGCAGTCAGGCCTCCTCTATCCTCACCCTTCTGCTAAAATGCTCTTACTGGGGTGTTAAGTAATGATCACCAACTTGCCAATGTTAGTGGTCTCTCTTTAGTCCTGATTCTCGCGACATGTAATACCACAAAGCTTCCTGTGACACCACAAAGCTTCCTGTGACACCACAAAGCTTCCTGAATAGCTTTCTCTTGGTTCTCCCCTGACTTGTCAAGTTCATCCTTCTCTCATTTCTCTTGGGTCACCCACTCTTGTGTTTCCCAACATTCTATCCTAGATCCTCTTGATTCCATACTTAATACCATCTCACCTACAAACATAGTTTCACCTCTATCCTAGCATCCCTCTAGAGCAGGGGTCCCCAACTTCCAGGCCTCCAGACCGGTACCCCCTGTCAGATCAGCAGTCATTAGACTAGAAACAACATGCACAATAAGTGTAATGTGCTTGAATCATCCTGAAACCATCCCCCCCATGGAAAAACTGTCTTCCATGAAACTGGTCTCTGGTGCCAAAACGGTCGGGGACCGCTGCTCTAGAGCATCTAGTTCTTACTAAAAGGCCACCTCCTGTCTACTTCTACAGACCTAGCAGATTCAACATGTTCCAAAGAGTTCATAATCTCTCTCTAGTTTCCTAGCCTGCTCTCTTACCTACGTGTATTTCCCTTCTCTGAAATTCCACCATTGCTTCACCCCATCCAAAAATATAATTTTATTAATTTTCCTCAGTAACCACTTAAATGGCTCCTGAATTTAGATCAATTATCTTAAGCCTCAGACAAAAAATAAAGTTGTATTTATTAAAAATAAGTTTTAAGATTATCATTACCACCAACTCAATAAAAAGATAATGGTGAGTCAAAGGCTTCAAATCACCCAGCGGGAGGCAGGCCATTGGCCCACCAGCAACCCTGTCCTCAACAGAGCACTGCACAATCACAAGGACACAGCAAATAAAAAAGAAACGGCAACTGCTGGTTTTGGCCAAAGATAATAACTTCTAAACTACCAACTCACACACACACAGGTTCAGGCAATGCAATAGATAAGGGAGGCTGACAAGATCAAGCCAAAGCCATTTTCAAAAAGTCATAATAAATAGATGTTGACCAAACATAGAAAAGAATTATTAACAGTAGGAGGAAGCGGTATCTTTTGTACCTTTAAGAAGTCTGTTTCAGAGGTGGGGAGTGTAAACATAGTTCAATCTCCATTTCCACTTTAGGGACCAGGATTGCACCTATCCCACTGC